ATAACAAAGGTCATCTAGGTTTTCTGCTATGTTATCTTCTCAAGTTTTATAGTTTTGCATTTTACATTTAGGTCTATGTTCCATTTTGAGTTAACTTTTGTGAAGGGTGTAAAGTCTGTGTAGATACAGGGAATTTATTTTTTATGATAAAATGTCTCTTGGAATAGTTTTCTAATTCCTATGTGAAATGTTTTATTATTAATAATGTTATGCATTTTGATTCTCTGTTTGTCAATCACTCCTCCAACCTCCTCATATCATTAATGGCTTTGAGAAAGCTCTTTATTTTCTTCATGATTTTATTCTTTTTACTTCTTGATAGCTTATTTTGTGTAAGTAGAAGATTTTCAGTCAGGCTGTTAGTTCTTGTTTTTTTTTTTCATATAAAACTTGTTTTTTAACAGATTATAAACAAATGTTTAAAAATTCAAGACTTTAAAAAAATGCATATAAAGAGCTGGGTTTGTTAGTGTGAAGGAGGTAGAAACTTTCTTCTGCCTTTCTACATTCTTTCAGCTGTTCTAATCAAATAGACATGAGACAGGTTACTAAGAGAAAATGACCAAACCTAATTACATATATATGAGAACCCTACATGATGAGAGTGTCAGGAAAATGAGGTATATATGATATTCTCAGCGAAGGATGCCATAAGGCACCTTGGGTCCTTGGAGGGGAGGAAGGTCATTCTTGGGATGATAGATGTTCAGTAAATAAAAGTTTGCCCTGCCTATGGATTGGTCATACGGATTATTTCTGATGATAACTTGAGTATGGACAAAGCCTCTATTTTAAGTTATTTAAGAGTGAGGTAAACTTTCTCGTGAGAGTCTCTATTGCTGTCAGCTCAGAATAATTTACATGCCAAAATGGCAAATCTTGTGGAGGTATGTTCTGAATCACTTCATTAGATTGAGTACTAATTTTGATTTTTAAAACATTTTTATTGATTGATTTTAGAGAGAGAGAGGGAGAGAAAGAGTGTGTGTGAGAGAGAAGCATCGATTTTGTTGTTGTTCAGTTATTCATACACTTCCTGGTTTCCTCTTGTATGTGCCCTGACACAGGATAGAATTACAACCTTGGCATATGGGGACAGCGCTCTAACCAACTCAACTACCCAGCCAGAGCGAGTACTTATTTTAAAGAAGCTTTTTTAATATCAAAATTTGATCTCATTTTAATTTTTATATATATTAGTATACTACATCTCTGTGTGTATATATCAGCATGTGTTTGTTATTATCATTTTAATGATTGCATAACAGTCCACTGTATCAATATACCATGTTTGTTCCCTTATTACTAGTCATTTAAATTGTAATTTTAATTAGCCTTAGTGTGTTACTAACAAACACTTCTAAATACAGTAGTCACCCTTTACCCATGGTTTTGCTTTCTGTAGTTTCAATTACCCATAGTCAGTCCAAGCTCAAAAATATTAAATTGAAAATTCCAGAAGAAAACAATTTATGTAGTAAATTTTAAATTGCATGCTGTTACGAGTAGTGTGATAAAATCTTATGCCATCCTGCTTTATGCTTCCCTGGATGTGAATCCAAACTACGTGTTATCTGCCTGTTAGCCACTTAGCCATCTCAGTTATTAGATCAATTATCACAGTAGCTCAGTGCTTGTGTTCAAATAACCCTTATTTTACTTAATGCTATATTCACATAATTTTTATTATAGTATATAGTTATAGTTTTTCTATTTTACTTTGTCATTAATCTCTTATTTTGCCAATTTATAAATTAAACTTTATCATAGGTATGTATGTTTAGGAAAAAACATAGTAGAACCAATCAGAAAGGATATATGCACTCCTATGTTCATAGCAGCACAATCTACAATAGCTAGAATCTGGAAACAGCCTAGGTGCCCGTCAGCAGATGATTGGATCCAAAAACGATGGTACATCTACACAATGGAATACTATGCTGCCATAAAAAAGAAGGAATTCTCATCATTTGCAGCAACCTGGATAGAACTAGAGAACATCATGCTGAGTGAAATAAGCCAGTCATTGAAAGAGAAATACCACATGGCCTCACTCATTTATGGATATTAAAGAACATTATAAACTGACAAACCAAAAGTCAGATATAAAGACAGTAAAGCAACAAGCAGACTGTAAAATTACAGCGGGGAGAGTAGGGGGATCTGGGGGAGTAAAGAGATCAACCGAAGGACTTGTATACATGCATATAAGTTCAATAAATGGACACAAAACTTTGGGGAGGGAGGGTATGTATGGGAGGGGGGGCAATGTTAAAATATGTACACAGATAATAATTTAATAAAAAAAAAAAACCATAGTAGATATCGGGTTCAGTACTATCTGTGGGTTCAGGCATCCACTGTGGGTCTTGGAACATACCCCCCGCTGATAACAGATATACTACAGTATAGCTGATATCGAGATTTTCTAGGTTGTCAAATATATATATTGTATGGATGCTTCTTGGGGATTTCCTGTGAGGTATATATCAAGTATGAAAACTAATAATTTTTAAGAATCCAGTTCAGCACTAGCCAGTGGCTCAGTTGGTTCGAGCGTTGTCCTGAATACCAAAAGGTTGTGGTTTGATCCTTGGTCAGGGCATGTATGGGAGGCAACCGATCGGTGTTTCTTTCTCTCAAATCAATAAAAAACATATCCTCCAGTGAGGATTAAAAAAAAAAAGAAAAAAGAATCCAGTCAAAACTAGATAAATGAATGGGAGAGAAAGTATTATTTATGAGACTTCTGGGGGATGGGGAGGGGAAGACACAAAAGTTTGGAATAGAAATCAAGCACTGTGGAAAATGGTTGTCATTTAAAAATAATTCTCTCTCCTTTTCACTCATAGTTTTTCATTTTAGTTAAGTTAGAGTATTTAAATTACCTGATTATTACCTTAGTGTAAGAATTAGAATAACTGCATTGTTCTCATTTTTCTCTCTGCATAATTCATATTGTCCCTTTCTCCCATTTCTTCCCATTTTGTCTTCTGCCATCTTATTTTCATTATTAATGGTCTTACTGTACTTTTCCAGAACAGAATCAATGTAGCATAATGATTAAGAGAATGGATTTGGGGCTCAGATCCTAGGTTATCTATTTATTAGCTGTGTGACTATGTTCAAGTTATTTATCTCTTTCAGTCACAATTTTTTCATTTGTAAAATGGGAGCAATAAAAGCTACTTTGTAAAGTTGTGAGGATTAAATGAGATGATATAGGGCTTGGAATGTGGTACACATGCAGCAAATGTTAGGTACTTTTATTATTATCACTCATATAATCATCACTACTACTACTATCCACACACCCCACATTTCACTACCAATATCATCACTTCCTCTTTCTGTCCTTTTGGAACACAAACCCCATTCTCAGGACATAGCTTTTCTTGTAAACTTCTTAGATGCCATTCTTTTTCTAGCATCCATCATTTGTTTCATAGACTAAGATGTTTATATTTACCAAGCTTGTCATTCCAACTTTCAGACTTTCTCCAATTTATTACACATATCCCCTACTTTGGGCTCACAGAATTCTGCTTTATCACACTGGCTTAATGATCTGTTCACTTCATAGTAGCACCTGTATTCATAAATTGTAAGCTCTGTAAGGGCTGCGTCCTGAGCAGCTAGGTCTGTGGCTGACACAAAACAAGGGTTCAATAAATATTTGTTGAATTGATTTATAAATAAAGGAGTTTGGTCCCTGGCTCAAAACTTTCTTTAATATATATATATATATATATATATATATATATATATATATATATGTATGTATATATATGTGTGTGTGTGTATTTATTTATTTTTTTTATTGATTTCAGAAAGGAATGGAGAGGGAGAGAAATATATAAACATTAATGATGAGAGAGAAATATATAAACATTAATGATGAGAGAGAAATATATAAACATTAATGATGAGAGAGAATCTCCTTCATGTCCCACACAGGTGAACAAACCTGCAACCAGGCATATGCTATGACCGGGAAGGGAACAGTGACCTCTGGTTCATAGGTCAGCACTCAACCACTGAGCTACACCAGCCAGACCTCTAAACTTTCTACTATTTTACTTTTAGAGGAGACTTACGGACATTTCTGTATTAGGGTCCTGTTGCTCTGTAACAAATTACCACAGAGTTGGTAGCTTAAAATAACACACATTTATTATCTTAAATTTCTGGGGGTCAAAAGTCGAAATGAGTCTCTCTGGGCTAAAATCAAAATGTTGGTAGGCTGCATTTCTTTAGAAATTCTGGAAGAATTCGTTTCCTTTCCTTTTTCCGCTTTTAGAGACTGCCACATGCCTTGGATCATGGACCCTTTCCTCCATTTTCAAAAGCAGTGGTGGCCAGGTTAAGTCTTATTTGGACCACTCTGACACTGATTCTCCTGCCTCTCTCTCGTTGCTAAGGACCCTTGCTATTACCCACATAATCCCACCCACATAATCCAGGATAATCTCCTTATCTCAATGTCAGATTAATTAGCAGCCTTAATTCCATCTGCAACCTTGCCTTGGTAACTTAACTGCTACAGGCTCAGGGATTGCGATAGGAAGGCCTTTGGGTGATCATTATTCTGCCTACCATAATCTAATGCTTTTGTTACATAGTTTCTTCCCAAATCCAGTTAATTTTCCACTATTCCCCTACAGTTCTGCTTAGCCATGGCCATACTCTGGACTTTTCCATTGCTCAAAACTGTCCTAACTCTAAAATTTTTAACTACAGAATTTTATTTTCTGATTACAATTTACCCTTCTTCAATGTTTTGGAAAAGTATGCAGGGACCAGAATAAAAAGGCCTAATGTTTTAGGTTACATAGTCTGAACATGAACCTGAATAAAGCAGGAAGTCAATGCAGAGTTTTATCAATTAAAAAAAAAAAATGTTCCAAAGCCAAGGAGATGGCTTTTAATTAGAAGATATAGAATTAATCATACATCTTATGTATTAACCTCCCCCCCACCCCCAATCTGCTTTTAATTAGGAAAAGGAAGAGGGAAGGCATGGACACTTAGGAGATAATGAAGAGATGATCAGAGTATCTACTGACAAAAAACAGGTGAATTTTTATGATTTCTAAACAAAACACACACACACACACACACACACACACACGCACACATATATGTTCATAATAAAGCAAAAGGAATGGTGTAAAGTAGAATAAAACTTCCTCTTATACTCAAATTCCCTATTCCCACTTCCAAAGGAGTTTCTTGTATACTCTTCTAAAAATGTTTTGTGCATTTACAGGATTATACATGTCTATTTTGTAAAAAACATTGTTCTATAGTTTGCTCCTACATCTTCCTTTATAAAAAAAACTTCCACCTTTAACTCATATTAGTTCATGTGTTGAGACGCTTCCATGGTTCTTTCAAATTCCAACATCTTGCTGGCTTAAAGAATTCAAGGCCCAGACTGCTCTTTACTTCGGTTATTTCTAGGAGTTGCATTTGTAACAAGCAATCTTGAGGGTTGAGGTAATGTCTCCCTCTTGGTACAAGAGTGTGTGTTTGCTTGCTGTCTGGATAAAACAATAGAATCCCAAAGCTCAGTGTTCCTCTTCTATAACATAATTTACTTTGTGTTCAGGAATCTATCTAGGCTGTTCTGCCTGACCCACATGGGATTTATGAGCAGGGGAAACCATCACAAAATGATGCTCATGCTGCTTGCTTAGCTATGAATGATACAATCTTTTGTCTGAGACTCATGTCTCTGCCAGTATCCATGAAACAGCAGGCTAACTTACTGGCTTCCAAGAGAGGTCAAATCAGAGCCCTGACCTGACAAGATTGTATGGTTTTTCCTTGTTATTTAATTATCTTTTGCATTTTTTCAGAGAGATCCTGATTCATCAGATATGGAGTGGAGAAAAAAAGTATATTTTTTTTTAAAAACTTACCTTGATGATTCTGATGTACATTCCTGGGATTTTCTAAAATTCCCAACAAAGTATAGAAATAATTTGTCTCAGAATATTTAGATGTATTTTATTGTAAGAAAAGCAAAGGTAAAAAATAGTGACTCACCATCTTAAGTTCATATACAAAACAGACTGCCCTCTTTTGTCTCTGTGTTAATATAAAACTCTGTGACTAGGGCTAATAGATGACTTGCCAAGATGTCAGTGAGATGAAGTAAAATAATGGCAGAATAGTGATTCACTCAAAAGATTTAGTCTTTTGGGAGTTTCTGAAGTTGTAGTAAGTGAAAGTGACAAAATGGAATGCAACTTAGCCTTTTATTTGCTTTGTTTTAAGTTTGGGATGGAACTTAACTTGATATTTGGCCTTGGCTAGAAACAGAATGAAAAAAAATATTTTTTTCCCCTGAGGTAAAAAGACAAAAAAGTGATAAGTAGAGGATTCCAAGATGGCAGTGGATTAAGTGGAAGCTACACTGACATTCTCCAGGACCAAACTGGAATTACAACTAAAGTATAGAAAAAAATCATTCTGAATAACCAACTGAAGCCTAGCTGAAGAGAACCCTTATCACCAAAGATGTAAAGAGGAGGCCACATCGAGACTGGTAGGAATTGTGGAGTGCAAGAGGGCTGGCTGGGCTCCCAGCAGTTGAGTTTGGGAAGGATAGCTCAGCTGTGGGGAGTTCCCTGAAAAGTCTGGGGTCTAAACCCCCAACTGGGCTCCCCAGCCCAGAGGACTAGAACTGGGAAAGGTCCCACATAACATCTGTCTGTGAAAAGTAATGGGGCTTCTGTCTACCAGGGAGAGAGGGCTGGAAAAGCAGGCACCCTCTTAAAGGGCCAACGCACAAAATTTTATGTGCAGTCCCTTACCTTGGACTTCAGCAGAGAGAGGACAGTCGACTAGAGCTGTGTGAGGATTGGTGGCTCGGAACGGAGTTGAAAGGACAGCCACTTGGATCCCTGTGCTGAGTCATTCCCCCATACTGCAGAGGCCATCTTTCTCATGCAGAACTTTACTACCCAGCCAGTTACAGCCTGGGGGAAGCAATTGCCCCACCCATTGGAAACCCTCACCCTACCCTGTGGTCTGCAACGTGAGGTTCATTAAGTGACTGAGATTAACAATCAACCTGTAGGCAGAGGCCGATCTCTGGGTGCTTTGAATCTGTTCTGGATCTGCTTTGGGGCCTGGGGCTAGCAAAAGTAGACCTTAGTGTGCATCTTGACCCTTTCCAAATGCACCCAGCCTCAGCAGAGGGAATCACAAGCTTTGGATCGCTGATAGCTTCAAATAGGGTACTCAAGGCTAGTCACAAACAGTGTCTGACACTGACTTGTACCAGAGACTCTTTGATGAAGAGGTCCAAAACCAATAAACCCAGTGGTCAGCTTCAGACAACAGAGCAGGATCTAAAAAGCTTCATAAGCAGCATATCAACAGGGAGATATTGGCAGGCTCCAAGCACTGCTGAGGTGAATTATGTTTCATGTGATAAGCACCTGCACAGCAGTCTATGTGCTGTGTTGGAAACTGAGCCTCACTCTCAGCCACACATGAATGAGACAGTAGCAATCAAGATTTAAGTACAATAGCAGAGCCCACACAACACATACAAGGAACAGTAAAGCTCTCAGGTCTGGTGATCAGGGAGAATTCACTATTGTTTTATACAGATCACCTACTACATAAGGCCACCCTACCAAGATTGGGAGTCATAGCAGATTAACCTAATACATAGAAACAACCCCAAGCAGGCAGCCAAAATGGGGAGACAAAGAAACAATTCCCAAATGAAAGAAGAGAATTCTCTAGAAGAACTAAGTGAAATGGATATAAGCAATCTATCAGATATAGAGTTCAGAGTAATGATTATAAGGATGCTCAACAGCATAAACAAAATATAGAAATTATGAAAAGCAACCAGTCAGAAATGAAGAATGACATAGTAGAAATAAAGAATACACCAGAGAGGATTAAAAATGATGGTGTCGTAAGTGGAAGCTACACTGACATTCACCCAGGACCAAACTATTAATACAACTAAAATAGAGAAAACCACCTGAAAAAATAAACTAAAGACTAGCTGGAGAGAACCCTGATAACCAAGGACGGAAAGTAGAGATTGCATAGAAACTGGTAGGAAGTGCAGAGATGCAAAAGTGCTGGATGGGCTCCCACAGACAGTAGCTGGAGATCCAGAGGGATGTCTCAGCTGTGAGAGGTTCCCACTGAGAATTCTGGGGTCTAAAACCCAAACTGGACTCCCCAGCCCAGAGGCCAGAACTGAGAAAGGTGCCCACAGAACATTTGGCTGTGAAAAGCAGCAGGGTTGCTGCTCTCTGGTAGCCAGAGATGGCTGGAAATGCAGGCACGCTGTAAAAGCGCAGCCACACACCTTGCTCTGAATGAGGGAGAGCAGAGTGGACTGGAGCTCTGTTAGGAGAGTCCACGGTTGGGGGCTCTAGGGTTGGAGCTCGGAAGGCAGCCACCCCACTTGATGTGTGGAGTCATTTCCTCACACTGCAGAGGAAAGCTTTCTCCACGGATCTTTGCTACGTAGGTGGTTTATTCCGGGGGGAAGGCAGTTGCCCTACCTTGTTGAAGGCATTTTCAGAGTAACTATGAAAAAGACCAGTCATATATGAAGACAGCACTAATAAAGAACATATTGGCATAGAAACCCACATATAAAGCCTATATGTTCATGTTGACCATTGTCACTGCAGTCAACTTAATAAATAAAATTAAAAAGAAAAAGAACAGATTGGAAGGAATACACAGCAGATTAGGGGAAGCCAAGGATTGGATCAGTGAATTAGATGACAGGGTAGAAAAAAATCACTCAGAGAATCAAAAAGAAAGATACAATTAAATAATAGGAGGACAGCCCTAGCTGGTTTTGCTCAGTGGATAGAACACTGGCCTGCAGTCTGAAGGGTCCTGTGTTTGATTCCAGTCAAATACACATACCTGGGTTGTGGGTTTGATCCCAGTAGGGGGTGTGCAGGAGGTAGCTGATCAACGATTCTTTCTCATTGATGTTTCTATCTCTCTCCCTCTCTGAAATCAATAAAAATATAAAAACAAAAAAACAGGAGGACAACTTAAGGGAGCTACGGGATAACATGAAGTGTAACAATATTTGCATAATAGGAGTGCCAGAAGGAGAAGAAAGTGAGAAGGAATGGATAAAGTGTTTGAAGAAATAATGGCAGAAAAATTCCCTAACCTGGTGAAGGAAAAAGTCACACAAGTTTAGGAAGTATAGAGAGTCTCAAGCAAGAATAACCTAGAGACCCACACTGTAAAGAGACACATCATAATTAAAATGGAAAAAATTAGAGACAAAAAGAGAATCTTAAAGGCAGCAGGAGAAAATCAGTTTGTTACCTTCAAAGGAACTCCCATAAGGCTGTCAGCTGGTTTCTCAACAGAAGCTCTATAAGCCAGAAAGGAATAGCTGAAGTATTCAAGATAATGAAAAGCAAGAATCTGAAACCAGGAATACTCTATGCATCAAGTCTATCATTCAAAATAGATGGTGAAATAAAAGCTTCCCAGACCCCCCCCCCAAAAAAAAAAGTTAAAGTAGTTTATTATCACCAAACCAACATTGAATGTAATGTTAAGAAGTAATGTATATATAGAGAAAATATAGGCATATATAATAAAAATGGCAATAAATAAATACCTAGCAATAATAACCTTAAATGTAAATGGATTAAATGTTCCAATCAAAAGACATAGGGTAGCAGAATGGATAAGAAAATATGACCCATACATATATGCTGTCTACAAGAAGTCCACATCAGAACAAAAGACTCAGGATAAAAGTGAAGGGATAGAAAAAAAACTTTCCATGCTAATAGAAATGGAAGAAAAAAAAGGGGGGGAGGTAGCAATATTTATATCTGACAAAATAGACTTTAAAGTGAAGGCCAAGGAAGAGACAAGGAAGGTCATTACCTAATACTAAAGGGATCAATCCAACAAGAAGATATAAACCTTGTAAACGTACATGCACCCCAATATAGGAGATTCTAAATATATAAATAAAGTCTTGGAGAACTTTAACAGAGAGATCAACAGACTGCAGTCATAATAGGGGTCTTCAACACCCCGCTGGCTTCATTGGATAGATCTTCCTGACAAAAAAATCAAGGAAATAGTGACTCTAAATAGCATACTAGATCAGGTGGATTTAATTGACATTTACAGAACATTTTACCCCAAAGCTGCAGAATTCATCTTAAGTGCACATAGGACATTCTCAAAAATAGACCACAGACTAGAACTCATATGAAGCATTTTCTTGGACCACAATGGCATGAAACTTGAAATAAACTACAATACAAAAACTTTCAATACAATACAAAAACTTTCAATACAATACAAAAACTTTCAATACAATACAAAAACTTTCAAACACATGGAGTCTAAATAGCATGTTATTAAACAATGAATGAGTTACACTGAGATCAAAGAAGAAAATCAAAACTTCCTGGGAGAAAATGAAAATGAACTCACAGCCCGACCAGTGTGGCTCAGTGGTCGACCTATGAATCAGGAAGTCAGGGTTCGGTTCCCGATCAGGGCACATACCTGGGTTTTGGGCTTAGTTTCCTACTCGGGGGCATGAAGGAGGCAGCCGATTAATGATTCTTTGTCATCATTGATGTTTCTCTTTCTCCCACTTCCTTCCTCTCTAAAATCAATAAAAATATATTTAAAAAAAGAAAATGAACACACAAAATCTATGGGACACAGCAAAAGCAGCCCTGAGAAGAAAGTCATAGCACAATGGGCCCACCTCAAGGAACAAGAAAAATCTCTAGTCTAATAAACTATCTAACTAAAAATAAATGAATTAAGAACAAAAATTGAAAAGCCCCAAGTTAGTAGACGGAGTGATATAATGAAGATCATAGGGGAATTAAATGACATAGAGACTTTAAAAAAAATACAAAAGATCAATGAAACCAAGGGCTGGTTCTTGGAAATGATAACTATCCAGACTCATCAAGAAACAGAGAGAGGACCCTGTTAAATAAATAAATAAAATCAGAAACGAAAGATGTGAAGTAACAACTGATACCACAGAAATTCAACGATTTGTAAGAAAATATTACCAACAACTGCATGCCAATGAATTGAACAACCTGGGCAGAATGGACAAATCCTTAGAAACATACAATCTTCCAAAACTCAAGAAGAGTAAGAAAATCTTTATAGACCAAGAACAACTAATGAAATTTAAGCAGAAATAAAGACGAACTCCAGCAAACAAATGTCCTGGACTAGAGGGCTTCAAAAGGGAGTTTTACCAAAGATTCAAAACAGAACTAACTTATCCCCCTCAAACTATCCCAAACAATTGAAGAGGAGAAAATCCCAAGCTCTTTTTAGGAAGCCAGCATTATCCTAATTCCAAAACCAAATAAATACCTCTACAAAGAAAGAAAATTACAGGCTAATATTCCTGATGAATATATATAAGAAATCCTCAACAAAATATTAGCAAATGCGATCCAATAATATGTTAAAAAGATTATTCACTATGACCAAGGAGGTTAAGGCTGGTATAATATTCACAAATCAATAAATGTGACATATCTCTCACACACACACACACACACACACACACACACACACACACACACACATATCTATGGCTAATATGCAAAGCGTTCCCTCAGGAGTTCGACCCAGAGACCAGGAGTTTGATTGCTCGCTGTGACCACCAGGGGGTAGCGCAGAACAAAGGAAGTCCCCGGCCAGCATCCAGAAGGACTAAAATACCCCTATCTCCAAGGGAATCTGTAGATTCAATGCAATCCCTATTAAAATACCAATACATATTTCACAGAACCAGAACAAACACTCCAACAATTTATATGGAACCAAAAAAGACCCTGACTAGCCACAGCAATCTTGAAAAAGAAGAACAAAGTAGGAGGGATTACAATACCAGATATAAAATTAAACAACAAAGTCATTGTAATCAAAACAACCTGGTACTGGCACAAGAACAGGCATATAGATCAATGGAACAGAGACCCCAGAAATTAACCCAAGCCATTACTCTCAATATTTGAGAAAGGAGCCTGGCCAGTGTGGCTCAGTGATTGATCTTCAACCCATGAAGCAGAAGGTAACGGTTTGATTCCCGGTCAAGGCACATGCCTAAGTTATGGACTCGATCCTCAAATACAGGGTATATCAGAGACAGCCGTTCTGTGATTCTCATCTTCAATATATATATATATATATATATATATATATATATATATATATATATATATTATTGATTTTTTTTTTTTTTAGAGAGAAAAGGAGAGGGATAGAGAGTTAGAAACATTGATGAGAGAGAAATATTGACCAGCTGCCTCTTGCACACCCCCTACTGGGGATGTGCCCGCAAACAAGGGACATGCCCTTGACCAGAATCGAACCTGGGACCTTTCAGTCCGCAGGCCGACACTCTATCCATTGTTCATCTTAAGTGTTTTTCTCTCTCTCCCTATCCCTTCCTCTCTCTGAAGTCAATTAAAACATGATTTAAAAAATTGGACAGAGAAGGCAAGAGCATACAATAGAATAAAGACAGTCTGTTCAATAAATGATGTTGTCCAAGAGACAAATGAAAAAATGCTGTTACTGATCATCAGATGCAAATTAAAGGACAATAAGACATGCCGAAACCGGTTTGGCTCAATGGATAGAGCGTCGGCTTGGGGACTGAGAGGTCCCAGGTTCGATTCCGGTCAAGGGCATGTACCTTGGTTGTGGGCATATCCCCAGTAGGGGGTGTGCAAGAGGCAGCTGATCGATGACTCTCTCTCATCGATGTTTCTAGCTCTCTATCTCTCTCCCTTCTTCTCTGTACAAAATCAATAAAAATATATTTAAAAAAAAAAAAGACAATAAGACATCATCTTACCACTGTCAAAATGATTTTACAGGATTTGCTTATTCATATGTAAAATCAGCTCTAAATTGTTTTTATGACCATCTAGATGCTTAACCCTTTGCACTCCACTGTCCCCTCTCAGGGGCATCGGAATTCTAGCATATCACTCGGATGTCCCCTCTCAGGGGACATTGCAGTTTATTAGTGATTACGGGGAATTGAGTTATTTCAACGCAACTTTTTGAGACATGCATGTTTCCCTGAAGTTTTATCTTGAAATGGCACAAGAAATTAAATCAAATTATCGTAAAATCTGGGAGCGGCCGGGCCCAGAGCAGCTGGGTCGGGTGCGGCCAGGCCTGGAGCAGCAGCAGCCAAGTCCAGAGCAACTAGGTCGGGAGCGGCAGTGACCAGACCCGGAGCAGCTGGTTGTGGAACGAACCAGAGCAACAGAGGCCAGTCCCGGAGCAGCCAGGCCCGGAACAGCTCACTCCTCGCCTGCCCCTGCCCCACGGCTGCCTCTCAGACATGGCTGGAAACTTTCGTGGGAACTTGAGGGTCTGCTGAAGGCTTAGATCTGGATGTGTTGAGTTAGTATAGGGCTGGGGTGTTGATCTGTGAGTGCCTTGTGCGGGGCCTGGATGAGGTTGGTTGACCTATTTGGAAATGTCTTTTGTGTGAAGTGTATCATTGGGCATGTGGAGGTATTATTGATATGAGAAAATGCTATGTAACTGATTTACTATCTGAAAAGGGATTTACTATCGGGGAAAGGGAGGGAAGAAGAGACTGAACATAAACTGCACCTATGGATGAGGACAATGGGGGATGGGGAGGGGGCGGAGGGGGGAAGAAATGAGGAACCTTTGTAATAATATGAACAATAAAGATTGATTTTTAAAAAATATCATAAAATTACTAAAATATATACAAGAAATGTCAGCGGGTTTTGTGTCGGACGAGAACGTGAGATGCGTGCTCACGCCGGTCCGAGCACTTCGCGACGCCACTTGAGAAGAGCGATAAGGGGAGTTTGTGGAAGAAAGGTCGGTTTTCGAACACAGCGCGCACTGTATAGTGAGATATATAATTACAAATAAACAAGTCTGCATCTGGAGGAAAAGATTTTCAAAGCTGAGCTCATTTTGGTTTGAAGCTTTGAGCAGTGCACATAGATCTAACGAGTGAAAAAATCGGAAAAGTGATTCTTTTATTAGTGAATAAATTGTTTGGTGAAAACTATTTTGGTAAATATCTTGTCAGTTAATAATAACAATTAGAAACTTATACTGTACAAAATTATAAACAATATATTGTTTTTTTTGCAAATATACATTCCTCGATGTCACCCAATTCATATAAGTCCAATATCATTATAATACGTTACTTGGTTTCAAAATTATACTAAATAATACGAGGGTCTGTAAATGCACTTTTCCGCCGCAAAGTAGCGTCGAGAATAGCTGGTAGCCAATGTCCAGAATGGTTCAGAGTGCAAAGGGTTAATATCAAAAATAGTCCTAGACTAGATGCTATAAGAAAAAAAGTTGAATCAACTTGGTTCTTGCCTTTTAATAGGTCAAAATTTATTCATTTCTCACTAGGACTTTATTAATGAGAATTAAATGCTAAATTTATTAAGAAATCATAAATTTAAAACATTTTTGGTATTAAAGCCAGTATTAAATATTCAAAAAATGTTTGGGGGCCTAATGAAAAAGATGCTTTTGTTTAACCTGTTCAGGTAATGAATGAAATAAATTTTCATGTTATTAATAAATAAAGTATAATCCATGATATGATCTTTAGCATTTATAACTAATAAATTATTATTTTGTGTCTTAATGTAGGTGAAGAAAACTGGTCTTGTGGTGGTGAGAGACATGAAAATTGTTGATCTTCACTGTTCAAGTGAAGAGTTACATGCTGGGAAAATTGCTCTTATAAAACATGGGTCAAGGCTGAAAAACTGTGATCTTTATTTTTCCAGAAAGCCATGTTCTGCTTGTTTGAAAATGATTGTAAATGGTAAGTGTAGATAAGGCTTTGCTGGGGATTACTAACATTTATCTGAGAATAGTCAGTGGAAACAAAGTACCACAGAGGTACTTTAGAAGTATATATATCTAAAGATAGTTTTATATACTGTAAGAACTCAGAAAGCTTATATTCTGGTCTCAGCTCTGTCACTAACTAGTTAGATGATGCTTCATGTCAATACTAGACTGAAATGAGCTGCTATCTTAATAATAAAAGCCTAATATGCAAATTGTCCCCTCAACTGGGAGTTTGGGAATTTGACCAGGGGGTGGGAATGGCCCCTCCCCCCAGCTGGCCTGGTCCCCCATAGGGCGTTCCCCACCCCCTGCCCTGGTCCCTCCCCAGCCCCAATCGTACACTGGTGTGATCCCTCAGCCTGGTCTGTGCCCTCTAGCAGGCTGAAGGACCCCACCACAAAGGGCCTCTAATAACAAATAAAACACTAAAATTTCAGTGCCTTAATATACTAGGCATTTATAAGCCCTGTACAGTAGTTTATCCATGGAGGATATGTGCCCTGGTCAGGGCATGTATGGGAGGCAACCAGTTGATGTGTCCCTCTCACATTGATATTTCTCTCTCTATCTCTCCCCTTCTCTTCCACTCTCTCTAAAAATCAATGGAAAAATATCTTTGGGTGAGGATTAACTAACAAACAAATTCTGGCTGGAAAGTCAATAACATCATTTCTGTTCATATTTATTATGGGAACTGTAGTTCCTGGCCGCTTCCCATTGACTACATTTTGGAAATGATAAACACAGATTATTAATGTTTAGCTTTCCATCTTTTTTTTTGTTAATATATTTTATTGATTTTTTACAGAGAGGAAGAGAGAGGGTTAGAGAGTTAGAAACATCAATGAGAGAATCATCGATCAGCTGCCTCTTGCACACCCCCTACTGGGGAAGTGCCCACAACCAAGGTACATGCCCTTGACCAGATCGAACCTGGGACCTTTCAGTCCGCAGGCCGATGCTCTATCCACTGAGCCAAACTGGTTTTGGCTAGCTTTCCATCTTTGTCACACAGGGCTACTCACTAAAACTTTTTGTGCTCATTTTTTTTTCCCCCCTCCAGGTAAGTATGCAGACCATTCTGCTATTTAAAATATCTTCTTTTTAAAATAAATTTTTATTGATTTCAGAGAGAGGGAGATGGAGAGAGAGATAGAAACATCAATGATGAGAGATTCATTGATAGTCTGCCTCCTACACACCCCCTACCTGGAGAGTGAGCCTGCAACCCGGGCATGTGCCTGACCAGGAATCAAACCATGAACTCCTGGTTGATAGGTCGATGGTCAACTGAGCGACATCAGCCAGACCAAAAACATTACATCTTTTACATAGCTACTGATGCTGCAGGAGGAATTAATGGCCAGATTGCCCAGACTTGAGTCGAGTGAGGCTCTTGGGTGCTGCTGAAGTAAGCATTTCAGAAGCTCCCATGGGATGTGGAGGAAGGCTTTATTTTTAAGTTGCAGTGTTCCATTTCCCCAAGCCAGTTCTGAAAGAGGGCTGCTGGGAGTTCAGCAAAGCAGAAGCAGGTCCAGTGTACAGAGCTTCCTTTCCATGTTGCAGTGGAGGATAGTTTAGTATTTAGTCCAGGTTCAGTCCATTAATGCATTGTGGGAGTCCCATATGGCTGTGCAGACCCTGCAGCAGAAGTCCCAAGAGGGCCTGGCGTGCGTGCGTGCGTGCGTGTGTGTGTGTGTGTGTGTGTGTGTGTGTGTGTGTGTGTGTGTGTGTGTGACAGAGGGGGAGAGAGAGAGAGAACACGCCCGCTTGAGCTCACATCTTTGTTTATAAATACAAATATTTAGGTTTTGCACCCTTGCAGTGACTACTTCCATCCTGGCCACTAATTTGTTCCCAGGTGTGACTGCCAACAGATAGGCAAGTTTCCACGTAACTCAGACCTTACTGGAACTTACTGAGTGATGAGTGATAAAGGTGTCTTTGTTATTCATTTCAACCACACCTGAGTTTCTGTTAATGAAGTGATTTTTGGAAAACCCTTATGGTTTGTCTTGGTTGCCAGAGGAACCAACCAAGTGACTACAGGGTTGGAACTTTCAGCCCCACCTCCCAGACTTCTGTGAAGGAGAGAGGACTGGAGTTTGAGTTCAGTTACCAAAGGAAATGATCAAACATGCCTTGTAAAGAAGCCTCCTTCAGAGGGCTTCTGGGGGAAAAGGGCTGGTAGAGTTCCCAATCCTTTTCCACTGCTATGTGACGTCATTACCCGGCGCCCACAGCCACTGTTTCTGGGCTGGGCTGTGGGCTGCATTTTGCGCCATGAGGTCCCCGGCAGCATCGGCTGCAATCTGGTGGGCTGTTGCTTCGGGGTGGTGCCAGAGCCTGTGTGGTCTGTGGACTCCTGATGTTCCACAAGGTCAAAAACTTTCATATTACTACTAAATTTACCCTAGTAGTACCAAAGCAGTGGTGTGTAAAGCTGATTCCCCAACGGTGAGCCGATGTTCTTCCCCAGATCGTGTGTCTCATGAAATTGAAGAATAAAAATCAAGAACCAGAAGATTTAAGCAAATGTGTGGAAATTTATTATAAGCAGATACAAATTCTCCACGGGGGGAGGGGTCCCAATAATGGATTGCCACTAAAGCTCGTTAATCTAGGGATATTGTATTTACCCAAAGCCTGTTCTTTACCCAGGTTGCTTTCTGATTGGTTTCCTCTATCTTCTTCACCCACCAACAATTTTAAAATCCACCTGGTGCTCCCCTTCCTCTTTTCCTATTCCTTCCCTATCTCTTGCAACTTTTTGCACATGTAAGATAAGCATTCTTGTCTTGTGCAGTTCTGTTTTTCTGCAAGATCAGCATTCCTATGATTTTGTTACAGATACCTCTCACCAATACCAGAGAGGATTAATTTATATGAGAGACCCTGACTGTGTTGTGAAAAGCAAGTTTATTAAAGCAATTAAAGCATGCATCTTTATTGAAAAAGCAAAAGCAAAACAAGCAAATGGATACATCTGGCTCATGAAGTGCACACGGGCTCTCAGCTAATCTGAAGAGCAAGTTGGGTGGGGGTGTGAGGAATTATATACCCTCTTGCTTATGTTTCACATTTCCTCTGCTGGCTATTTGGAACATTAATTCTCAAGGCTCTTTTTTTTTTTTTTTTTTTTTTTTTTTTTTTTTTTTTTTTTACTTTGTTGTGGTCTTTCCAGAATTCATAAGCACCTGGCAACTTTATCTCGCCAAGCTTTGAGACTGCTGGCTTCTCTCTTTAGGGAATAAAATGGCCCTTTTTTCCTTTCCCTTTTCCTCCCTTTTTGCATTCTCTCATCAGGGAGGTTTTTATTTAACCATCTGCTCTGTGTCCTTGGCTGGGAAAGATAATGGTTTGTTAATTACAAGCTGGCTGCAAGTTGCCCACACTATTTTAACTTTCCTGTCTCAGTTTCCCTATTGCTCCTGCCCTGGAATTGTTACAGTTTTAGCTGGCTCCAATGGTCATGTCCGTACTTCCTCCTTCCACCCCTTACCTGTCGGCCAAATCCTGTTTCTAACGCCTCTCAAAACTGTTGCCTAATAACAAGGCACTGGTAGTCATTGTGCTTACTCTTCATGGCCAGGTATATAGGAGGGAAAAAAGGTTTCATGTAAGAATGTCTTTGGTGAAACAATAAAAATTATTAATTTTAAATCCCAGCCCTTGAGTACACATGTTTATAATATTCTGTGTGAGAAAATAAGAGGTAGATATAAAACACTTTAGCTACAAACTTAAGTATGAAGGTTGCCTTATGGAAAACTACCTATGCGAATGTTTGAGTTATGAACTGAATTATCTTTTTTTTTTTTTTTCATGGAACACTGTGATCTGAAAAGCTATAAACACTTGGATATTTGACAGACATTATCCCAAAAATATGTTAAGTGAATCTTTCACTTCTAAGAAAACAACTGACAGTATTTGTTGTCGATGATAACATTTGAGTTTTCAAGTGAAAATTTTGAAAAACTTGGCATCATGAGCTTACAGCTTCCCAGACTTAAAAACTCTTCTGGAAGAGATCGGTGGTGTTAATGAATAGAAATTTTAAAAAAATAATGGAATTTAACGTAAGAGAACAAAAACTTATGATTTTTAAGACTATCCTTTCTTAAAATTTTATGTTGTGTCAAAGAAGAATATTGACAACTATCTGAAATGGCTGTTAAAATACTCCTTTTTCAATTACACATCTGTGTGAGGCTGGCTACTTTTCATATACTTCAATAAAACAACCTATTGCAGCAGATTGAAAGCAGCAACAGATTTCAGAATCCAGATGTCTTCTATTAAGCCAGATAATAAAGAGACATGTAAAAATTTAAAGCCATGTCATTCTTCTATACTAGTTTCTGTTGTAGTTTGGGAAATATATAGTTATTTTTCATTAAGCTATGTTACACTAATAAAAGAGAAACATGCAAATTGACCATCACTCGCTACGTCCACCAGCCAATCAGGAGGAGGGAATATGCAAGTTAGAAAGAGAGAGATGGCGGCCGCCCAGCTGCTCTAGCTGTGGAGTGGCCGGGCAGAGCAGGATGCCTGCCATGAGAGGGAGGGCGGGGGGCAAAGGGATCTATAGGAGCAGCACTCCAGCCACAGCGAAGACGGCAGACTCTGGCTGGAGCCTGCAGCAAAGACAAGGAAGGCCTGAGTCCCAGGTGCCGAAGGAAACCGGTGCTGGAAGCCATGAGAAGAAAGGCTCTATTGCATGAATCTCTTCGTGCAACGGGTGTCTAGTATATAATAAAATTCTAATATGCAAATTGACCAAATAGAGGAACAACCGGTCGCTATGATGCACACTGACCACCAGGGGACAGACAATGCAGGAGCTGCCCTTTGGTGGTCAGTGCACTCCCACAGGGGGAGTGCCACTCAGCCAGAAGCCGGGCTCACAGCCGGCGAGCGCAGCGGTGGTGGAGCTTCTGCCTCTGTGGCAGTGCTAAAGATGTCCGACTGCCGGATTGTGGGAGAGCACAGGCCAGTCTGAGGTACCTCCCCTCCCGTGCTCCCCTCCCCCTCATCCAGTGTATGAATGTTGTGCACTTGGCTGCTAGTTTGTAATAATGTGGCATAGGTTCTTTATTGTTCTTTGTTTTTTTAGTGATTAATATTTTTACGTTTTTGTTTTAATTTTTTAATACAGTATATATCAGTAGATATAATTTACACCTCATTGGGGTCCTCCTTAATTTTAAAGAGTGTAATTGGGTCTGAGACAACAAAATTGGAAATTTTCTGCAGTAGCATTTGCCACTGTTACGTATTTGTTTAAAGATTGGCCATCCTCTCTTCTCCTTGAATCAGGTTTACTAGAAGCAACCAGGATGTTTAGATGAAAGACTGACCAGCACTGCTGGTTAGGAAATGGATTTTGAGAACTCCAACAGAGGGCAGGTGAGATGCAGCCAGAGGAAACATTCTGGCATTAGCTTTGAGGCTTTCAAAATTGCTTTACAGCCCAAGTCACAGCAGGAGTTAGAAGTAACAGGGACTAGATAGAAATGTGTGTTAATTTAACTAAAACTTTATTTAGTTTCTCTGTTACTTTAAATGCACAACACCCTGTGGGCCAACCATCTAGTCACTTCTGGACACAGCCATAAAAACTGCAGTTTCATGAGATACTAGCAAAGGAGTCTGTTGTAAAACACTGATGAACAATTCAGTGCTTCATTCTGTATAAGGCATCTCTCATCATTCATTTTGAAATACAAATTAAAATATTTTTTTCCGCTGAAACTGGTTTGGCTCAGTGGTAGAGCATCGGTCTGCGGACTTGAAAGGTCCCAGGTTCGATTCCGGTCAAGGGCATATACATTGGTTGTGGGCACATCCCTGGCAGGGGGTGTGCAAGAGGCAGTTGGTCGATGTTTCTCATCTACATTTCTAGCTGTCTATCTCCCTTCCTCTCTGTAAAAAATCAATAAAATATATTTTAAAAATATATATGTATTTTTTTCTATGTTTGTTATCCAGTTTTGTTTTCTCTTTTGTAAACTGTTCATGTCTTTGATTCTTTTGAGGCCTTGTTCTTAACAATTTATACCTGTATATGCTCTTAATAAATTAAAATCATCTCTGTATATTAAAGATTACTAACCTTTCCTCTATCACATTGATTAAAAATGTTCCTTCTAGTTTGTTGTTTCGTCTTTAATTTTGTGGACTTAAAAAAAAACGAATATTCCCCTCCCCACTGCTGTCCTCAAATTGTAAGTTCTCTGTGGAAATTTTGGATTACTATTAGATAATGTTTTGTTATGAGGAAGATCCTAATCTGTTTAATCATTCCCTTATTTTATCTGTTTAGTTTTTCTATGTCTTTACTGTTTTAAACAATGCTGCACTATAGATATATATAGATGTATCCATACTTTTTTCCCCCAGTCTCTAGAATATTTTCATAGAATAGCTTCCTAGAGAAAGAATTCAGAGTACAGGTACATTATTAATGCCTGGTTGCTTAGTTTATTTCAGATACAAAACTCTAGACACTGTTAGTTATCAACTACTACTATGATATTTCTAAAAGCAGCCATTTGATTACTTATAGGATTCTGACATATATATAGTTACAGCATTGGGTTTTGGGATCACACTTGGCAAGGCCAATGATTCCAAAATACCTCCTCTGGACTTTGTGAGGGACTGGCCAACTATTCCTATAAAGGGTCAGGTAATAAATATTTTAGGCTTTGTGTGCCACATGGTTTCTATACAGCTGCTCAACTCTCAACTTAGCGACTCCATTATAGTGCAAAAGCAGCCAGAGATTGTGTCAGTGAATGGTGGGTCTGTGTCCCGATATAGTTTATTTATGGACAATTAAGTTTGAATTTCAGATGATTTTTATGTCACAAAATATTCTTGTTTTTTGTTTTTCCAACTATTTAAAACAACAAAATATGTTCTTAACCTGCAAGCCATACCAAAATAGGCAATGGGCTAGATACGGCCTGTGAGCTATGGTTTGCCAATAGGCTATATAATTAGTAACTTGGTAATAGACATTTATTATATTGGGATCTCTGGATCTACTGCAGTGATACAGTAAATTTATCAAGAAAGCCCTTAATTTCATAAAGTATCTGATAACTACCTTTCATATTTTGTATTTCAGCTGGAGTTAACCGAATTTCATACTGGCCTGCTGACCCAGAAATAAGTTTGCTTTCTGAGGCGTCTACTTCTGAAGATGCAAAGTTAGATGCCAAAGCAGTGGAAAGATTGAAATCAAACAGCAGGGCCCATGTGTGTGTCTTGCTTCAGCCTTTGGTGTGTTGTATGATGCAATTTGTAGAGGAAACCTCTTATAAATGTGACTTTATTCAAAAAATGGCAAAAACATTTCCAGATACTAACATTGACTTTTATTCCAAATGTAGACAAGAAAGAATAAAAGAATATGAAATGTTATTTTTTATTTCAAATGAAGAACTACATAAGCAGATGCTGATGACCATAGGTTTGGAGAACCTATGTGAAAATCCATACTTCAGCAATCTAAGGCAAAACATGAAAGACCTCATTCTACTTTTGGCCACAGTAGCTTCCAGTGTGCCCAGCTGTAAACACTACGGATTTTATTGTGACAAGACTGAACAGAGTATTGGAATTCACAATCAAAGTTTGCCACAAGAAATTGCAAGGCACTGCATGGTTCAGGCCAGGTTATTGGCATATCGAACTGGTAAGTTCTATGCTTAGTTCAAGTATTGGGGTTTATCAGTTGGTTGTATTTAGCTCAAAAGTGAAGTTGGGTTCATCTCATCTGTGGTAGAACTCATTTACTCTCAGATACTGAGTTTTGCTGGTCATCTGTACAACATATAGAAATTAGACCCTTGAGTAGATAACTCTTCCTCACAGCAAATTTAGGATTCCTTGTGGCCTTATAATATGGTGCTGCATGCCCTGATTATTAGGCCCTTCTTTCTGCTTCTTGTTTTTATCATTTCACTGTTCATTTATCCCTCCACTAGAGATGGAACAAAAAGAGAGAGGGAACCAAATCATTCATTTTTGTTAACTTCAGTATTTTTTTAATTGATTTTTTACAGAGAGGAAAGGCGAGGGATAGAGTTAGAAACATCGATGAGAGAGAAACAGCAATCAGCTGCCTCCTGCACACCTCCTACTGGGGATGTGCTTGCAACCAACGTACATGTCCTTGACTGGAATCGAACCTGGGACCTTTCAGTCCACAGGCCGACTCTATCCACTGAGCCAAACCAGTTAGGGCAACTCTTCAATATTTATATGTATTCAATATTAATAAATACTTTAAATATTTTTACAATATATGAATTTAAAATAATTAACAGAATCAAAGTAAAAGAATATTGGCGTATTTTTTCCAATTGCTAGTTAGTATGTCTCCAATGCAAGTAGAGAAATCAAGCATTTTTACTTTTTAAAGTTATGCATGGCCATATATGTGAAAATAAAAAATATTTCTTGGTCCAAAACTGGTTTGGCTCAGTGGATAGAGCGTCGGCCTGCGGACTGAAAGGTCTCAGGTTCGATTCCGGTCAAGGGCATGTACCTTGGTTGCGGGCACATCACTGGTACCCACTTTCCCCGAAAATAAGACAGTGTCTTATATTAATTTTTTCTCCCAAAGTTGCGCTAGGTCTTATTTTCAGGGGATGTCTTATCTTTCCATGTGCTAGGTCTTATTTTCAGAGGATGTCTTATTTTCGGGGAAACACAGTAGGGGGTGGTGTGCAGGAGGCAGCTGATTGATGATTCTCTCTCATCGATGTTTCTAATTCTCTATCTCTCCCTCTTCCTCTCTGTAAGAAATCAATAAAAAAATATTTTTTAAAAAGGCATTAAAAATATTTCTTGGGGATTTTCTTTATTGTAATAAAAGATGACATCTCTATTTCCAATTATAGACCACTGTTTTTACATCTTATCAGATGTAAAATATTTCAAAGTGGAAGAATCATTACTTTAGCCGGGACAGATTTGGCTCAATGGATAGAGCGTCGGCTTGGGGACTGAAGAGCCCCGGGTTCGATTCCGGTCAGGGGCATGTACCTTGGTTGCGGGCACATCCCCAGTAGGTGCTGTGCAAGAGGCAGCTGATCGATGACTCTCTCTCATTGATGTTTCTAACTCTCTCTCTCTCTCTCTCTCTCTCTCTCCCTTCCTCTGTACAAAAATCAATAAAATATATATTTTTTAAAAATCATCACTTTAAAATGCAACTTTGAAATAAGAGAAAAAATGCAGGCAGGAGGAGCAATAGAGTAAGATTTGATGAGTGGAATATACTAAAAAAAATTTTAACTCAAGAAAGAAGGAAAACAGAGGAAGTCTTCAGAAAAGGTTCAGTTGTGGCTCAATTGGTTGAGCATCGACCAAGAGATCTTGGTTCGATTCCTGATCAGGGCACATGTCCAGGTTGTGTGCTTGATCCCCAGAAGGTGGTGTACAAGAGGCAGCCAAATGATGTTTCTCTCATCTATGTTTTTATCTCTCTATCCCTTTCCCTTCCTCTCTCTCTAAAAATTAATAAAAACATTTTTTTAAAGAAAAGGTTCATATAAATTTCACTGTCTGTAATTTTTCTAAACAAAGACCACAGGTCAAAGTAATTTCAGTAGAATGAAGGCTCTCATCTGGCAGCATATCAAAATCCCTGAAATTTTATTAAAAAACAAATGTTCACATTTCAATCCAGACTAAACCAAGTCCCATAAGTGTATGACCAAGACTTATAAGTTTTTAAAGTTCTGCAAGAACTTTGACATGCAGCAGGTTTAATAAGCACTTGATTTTTTTAAATTTTTTTTATTGATTTAATTTTTTTATTGATTTTTTAGACCGATGCTCTACCACTGAGCCAAACCGGTTTCAGCAGCACTTGATTTTTACTCAAGAATTTCATTTTAGCTCAGCCGGAGTGGTTCAGTTGGTTGGAGCATAGTCCTATGCATGGAAAGGTTGCTGGTTCGATTCCCTGTTAAGGCACATACATGTCTTGAGGGTTCGACTCCCAATTGGGCACATACAGAAAGCAGCGGATTGTTGTTTCTCCCTCACATCCATCCTTCTCTTTCTTTCTCCTCTCCCTCCATCTCTTCCCCCTTACTTCTGTTTTCAAATGGTGTCATTGGGTGAGGATTTAAAAAAGAGAACTCTGGATGGTGAGTACAGTGGTTAGAGCAAGTGCCAGTGTTTCCAGTCAAGGGCATGTACCTGGTTTGTAAGGTTGATCCCTGACCCCTGTCAGGGCACATGGGGAAGGGAACCAATTAAAGAGTTGGAAGTCTGTACATCTTATCTACCTGGTTTAAGTGTGATTTTTTTAATCGCTTTTTTGGGATGCTGATTTCCCATCAGACTAAACATTTTCCAAAGCTGAACCTTTGAACCACAATGTTGATGACAAAAGTAGGTTGGAGTAGTCAATAAAGTTTAATGTTTCAAGTTATAACTCATTGGTTCTCAACTTCTAACAGAGGGAATGCTTATGAGAAATTCAGATTCCTGCGTCTCCCCGCCTTCCTCGGAGCGGTTGGTTTAGGGCATTTCCATGGGAGGCCGGAGGCTGCCTCTGTAACAAGCAGCCTGTGATTCTGACACAGTGGCCTGTAGACCACATGGGCAGACCCTGAACACCACAGAATTGGGAGCTGAAGTAACCATGCCTGTGCTCTAGAGCTCGGGTTAATCTGACTCTTAGTGACCAGAGTCTCGGGGATTTGAAAGTTGACCATTCTTTCAAAGGTGAACAAGAAGACACTGTGAGTGACCAGAGAATTTCTGTAAAAGTTACAGACATGAAAAGCTTTTTGAGAAATTACCTAATCTGTCAGCCAACTTCGGGGCTGAGTGAAATCTACTCAATCTCATATAGGTGAAATTTCATTTTGATTTTAACATACAAATTTAAGAATATTCTTGTGGTGTGACTAACCGTAAGTACTAAAGTTGCATTGTTGGTGGAAAGTCACATTTTCCCCTCTCTTGACAAGGTTTAATCTGTCTCCAAACTGAAACAAAAGTGTCTTCCAAGTTTAAAAAAGCACAACATGAAAGTTACTCAATGTAGATGGTAGGAAAAGTAGGCTCTTAATCTGAAGAATTTCTATTTTATTTTTTTTTATTTTTTGTTTCAGATTTATGTATGTATTAAGTATAATTTTACTTCCAATATAGGTTTTGGTTTTGCAGACAAATATACTCTTAGGGTTATAACTTCTGCCACTTGCCTTGGAAATGATCATAATTATATTCTTTCCCCACATGTTTTATTTTGAAGGTCTATTTTGGTTACACCAAAATCCCTTTTATGACAGTTCCCACTCATAGAGTAAGCCCTCCCCCCATACACTCTGTTCCTCAGCATTGTATTAATTTTCTGCACAGCACAGCACAGAGGTGTTCCCTTGTTCCTGTCTTCCTTCCTCATCAGACAGACTGTAAGTTTCATGAATATAAGGACTTCTGTTTTCCTCACCACTGTGTACTCGGGCATTCAATGAGGGGAAATGTTTGTTAGGAAATTCTTAACTTCAAAGGAAGGGTAGAGGAAAATCAAAGTAGGTTAGGTTCAGAGGGCTAATTTTTAGTCAGTTTCTTTGCCTGTTTTCTACCTTTAGGGTAAAAAATGAGACAATGAGTAAAAAGTGCTTCAAATAAATTATGCAAATGCTTTCTAAGATAATTTTAAAAATCTGAGCTTGCTTTAACTAAAGTTGGGGAATTTTATTATAGTATCATAACTTTTAAAAATTATGAGGCATAATAATTTTTAATACAAAGGTGAAATAAAGTTTCTCTGTACTTTTACTAAAAAAGTTAAGTATTCAAATGTTATCATTGAAGATTACTTGTAAGGAAATTATAGGATGAAGCCACACTTAATCCTCACCAATATGAAAATGTTCTAGCCCAAATTCACAAATGATTGTTACTTTGTGTAAATGTATTTACTTCACTATATTTGTCTCTTATTAAGAGTTTGGTAAATACTCTGTTTTTTATAATTTTCTTAGAAATTTGTACTCTCCCTGGTATTAGTAGAAGGAAAAAGTCAATCCTTTATATGTAGAATTTCTCTTTTGGTTTTTAAATTTTGTTTCATATTAATGGTTTTAAGAAGTACAGCTTTATTTATAGCAGACATTTTGGTTCTGCAGGAAAATTATACTCTTACAATTGATTTAGAAATGAGCATCATGTAATTAACTGTGCTTTCCCCCTCCCCCAAGGCAAATTATGAAGGTCAGGGAAAGGACAACATAGTGTTTAAATCAAAATACCCTTCATGGATCTTTCCAGCAGTATAAACATATGAAACCCCATAAATATTTATTTATGTTTGTATTTTACATCTGAACAGTTTTCATAGTAAGAACATTTGCATGAAATGTATTTTTCATGATTAGAGTATTAAAAATGCTAAAAGACAGACTAGATGGTTGTGTGAATGTTTATTACATTAAATCCATTAGTTCAGAAACTTGTTTTTTAATCAATTTTATCATCTATTAGAAATAGTCACTTAGAAACTGACATGTTGGTGGAGAATCAATAGTTACACTCAATTCTGATTAGAGCTCTGGTGCTGGACACTGCCATTGTAATGATCTCCACATATAGGTCACGTGTGACTGGGTTGGTAGTGACAGTGTCTAGTTATTTAGTATCTACTTCCCATATTGCATGCTTATAAGTGTTTTGTTTAGTGGTTTTCTATAATTTGGGAGATGTCAAGAATTGCTGCTACATTTAGGAACTATGTTCCAATAAATATGTTTATATTATTTTTAGAAAAATATAGTTCTGAAACTAACAAATCATTGATTTTTTTACTGAGTTAAATGCCATTTATCTTTCAGAGGATCATAAAATAGGAGTTGGAGCAGTCATTTGGGCAGAAAAAAAATCTGTAAGTATTATACTAATTGTTTAAACATTTAATTTTGATTTTCTTTAAATATATTTCAGCCTTAAATACATTATTTTGTTGACCCATAGGCATTAATATTTTATATTGGTGATTTTATGTTCTATAAGCATTTCTTTACTCCCTCAACAATTTTATGGATAAATTCATTTATTTAGCAGACATTTGTTGAACACCTTCTATAGGGTTGTCACTGTGCCACAGAGTACACTGGGGAGTTAAAGACCATATTTCCTGTCCTCCATGGCCTTCTGTAATCTAGTAATGCAGACAGAAGTGAAAAAGAGACTGGTATGTAAGAGTGATTATAACATGATTACCATGAAAGCTCAGAGGGTCTACCTTAATTCGCTTGAAGAAATGAGTAAAATATTCTTAGAGGAGATAAGATGCTATTTGTCTTGAAGAATGAATAAGAATTCACCAGGCAGAGCAAGTTGTGAGACCGGGAGGATAGCATGCAGAGGTGAGGGGTGTGAGAGAGAATTGGAAAATGGGAGTGATTTGGCATGTTGGAGTGCAGAGTGTGGTAGGAGAAATTGGTCTTGACCCTGAAGAACTCTGTATTTCATGTAGAGAGTTTTGACTTTATCTTTTGGATAGTGGAATATACAAGCACAGAGCTAAGCAGTGGAAATAAAAGACAAGCTACATATTTAATTTTAAATTTTATAGAAGCCATATTTAGAAAGAGATAAATTAATTTTAAGAATGTATTTTAATCTAATCTGTCCATAAATATCATTTCAATAAGTAATCCATATAAAAATTATTAATGACTTGCACAGAAGGCCAAGAGAGTGCCACAGTGGCTTTAGAGGGAGAGTCAAGACACAGGAAGATGACTGTTTACAAACCAAGGCAAAGAAGTTTTATAGGAAACCAACCCTGCCATTGATCGTGGACTACAGAGTTTTGGGTGGATCTAAGATGGTGACGGAATAGGTGGAAGCTAAACTCCCCTATTCCCAGGACCAAATCAGAGTTATAACTAGACTATATAAGAATCATCCTAATAACCAACTAAAGATGAGCTGAAGAAAAACTTTATAACCAAGGATTTACAGGAGAACCCACATTGAGACTGGTGGGAAGGGTGGAAACACAAAAAGGGCGTGCCCTGGAGGATATCTCAGCTCCGCGAGGGCCAGTTCTCCTGAGAAGCCTGAGATCTAAACTCCTGCTTGGGCTCCCCGGGCTAGAGCACCAGAGCTGAGAAGAGGCACCCCGAGTCCTGGCCATTGTGGCCCAGTGATTAGAGCTTCAGTCCTCATACCCAAGAGTCCTAGTTTTGAATCCCAGTCACTGGGTTTCAGGGTTGCCCCCGGGCCCCAATTGGAGCACATGTAGGAAACAACCAATTGATGTGTCTGTCTCACATAGATGTTTCTTTTCCTCACCCTCCCTTCCTCCTTTCCACTCTTTCTAAAAATAAATGGGAAAAATATCCTTGGGTGAGGATTAACCAAAAAATAAAAAGTAAAAAATAAAATAAATAGAGGCATCCAAATAACATCTAGCTATGAAAAGCTCTGAGGTTTCTGTCCACCAGTGAGAGATGGCTAGAGATACAGGTACCCTCTTAAAGGGCCAACACATAAAATGTCATTCGCAGTGATGAGTCCCATGAGGAGAGGGATTTGTGGCTTTGGGGAGGGAGCTGAAGGGACAGCCACCAGAACTAAAACAAATATTCCAAAAATGTATACAGAACCACAAAAGACCCAAATAGCAACAGCAAGCTTGAGAGAGAGAAGAAAAGAAAGTTGGAGGAATCACTACATGATAGCAACATTACAAGGCCATAGTAATCAAAACAAGATGGAACTGGCATAAAAGCAAATGTAGATCAATAGAACAGAATAGAGAACCCAGAAATAAATCCATGCCTTTATAGTCATTTAGTATTTTACAAAGGAGGCAAGAACATACAGTGGGGTAAAGAAAGTCTATTCAATAAATGGTGTTGGTAATATTGGACAGACTCATGCAAAAAATAAATAAATAAATAAAACTATCCTACCTTCTTACCTCATACGCAAGAATAAACTCAAAATGGATTAAAAACTTAAATGTTAGACTTGAAACCATAAAAATTCTAGAAAAAAACATGCAGTAAAAGCTTGAACATTTCTCATAGCAATATTTTTTTCTGCTATATCTCCTCAGGCAAGGGAAACAAAATATAAATAAATGCATCTATATCAAACTAAAATGTTTTTGCACAGCAAAGGAAACTATCAACAAAATGAAAATAGCCACTGAATTGGAGAACATATTCACCGATATATCTGTTAAGGGGTTAATATCCAAAATTTATAAAGAACTTATAAATCTCAATACCAAAATAACCTTAAACAATCCAATTAAAAAATGGGCAAAGGACCTGAATAGATACTTCTCCAAAGAGGACATAGAGATGGCCAAGAGATGTATGAGAAGATGCTCAATGTCACTAATCATCAGAGAAATGCAAATTAAAACCACAAAGAGATCTCACCTCACACCTGTCAGAATGATTCTCATCAACAAATCAAACAAACGTTGATGAGGATGTGGAGACAAGGCAACCCTATGTACTGTTGGTGGGAATGTAGATTGGTGCAGCCACAGAGGATAGCAGCGTGGAGCTACCTCAAAAAATAAAAAATGTAGTTATTACCCAACGATCCCATTTCTGTGAATATTTTCAAAGAAAATTGAAACACTAATTCAAAAAAATATAAGCACACGTACGTTCATTGCAGCATCACTTACAACAGTGAAGATTTGGAAATAGCTAAGTGTTCATCAGTACATGAGTGGATAATGGAGACAGACTCATAGATAGAGAGCTGGCTGACAGATGTCAAGGGAGAGGATTTGAGGGGTGGAGGGATTGTGCAAAAAGGAAAAAAAGAGAAAGAACTCATGGACACAGACATCAGTGTGGTTGATTGCCTATGGAGGGGATGCAGAGGAGGTGGAGTAGGGAATAGGGAAGGATAAATGTGATGGAAGGAGACTTGATTTGGGGTGATGAGCACACAATACAGTATACAGATGATGTGTTGTAGATTGGTCACCTGAAGCCAATATAATTTTGTATAATTTTGTTAACCAGTGTCAACATCAATAAATTTAACTTTAAAAAGTGTTTTTAAAACATGTTTTCATTAATTATTTAGAGAGAGAAGGAGAGAGATAGAAATCTCAATGAGAGAAACATCAATTGGCCGCCATCTGCATGCTCCCTACTGGGGATTGAGCCTGCAACCTGGGCATGTGCTTTGACCAGGAATCAAATTGGGAGCCTTTCGGTTCATGGTCAACATTCAACCACTGAACCACATAGGCCAAGCTTAAAAAGTTTTTTTGTGTGTGTGTGTTTTTGTTTTGTTTTGTTTTTAAAATTATTAATAAAATATCCTGCATTTGGGCACTATAGTCATCAAAATATTGTGTATATTTTACACTTTCCATACCTTTCAATTCAGACTAACCACACATGGCTGCTGCTAACCACATTGAATAGTGTAACTCAAGAATCTTTTTTTTTTTTTAATTCCTTACCTGAGATATTTTCTTTCCATTGATTTTTAGAGAGAGTAGAAAGGAGGGAGAGAGAAAGAGCGAGAAAGAGATTGACTGTCTCCCGCATGTGCCGTGACTGGGGCCGGGATCAAACCTGCAACCCAGGCACATCCCCTTGACCAGGAACTGAACCCACGAACCTTGGGTGCAAGGCTGACTCTAAGCACTGAGCAACAGTGGCCAGGCCAATCCAAGAATCTTTTAAGAGGGAAAATGTTTGGTTTAGATTTGCATTATAATAATGAGACGGGACTAGACAGAAAATAGGGACATTTGTATAAAATATGAGTGCTTAGAATTATGGGGATGAGTTAGGAGAGCACCGAATCAAGAGATAGTTCTTAGTAATTATGTGTAGGAGTCTAAATTTTGTTTCAATAGACTTTATAGCAAATAATTTGACTATTTGCCTGGATGTTTCATAAGTCCTTTCAGTTCATCCTAACAAATAAATCTAGTATTTTCCCTGCTAACCTGTTTCTTCATCAGTGGTCACCATCCCATTCCTTCTAATGCCGCACATTCAATTTATCACCAGGTACTGTGGACTCCACCTTCAAAATATCTCTTAACTCTACTTATGTCTACCTCAGCTGTTAAAACCTACTAGAATAGGTTCCTCTACCAAAAACTTCATAGTCTTCTGTACAGTTCTTTTGTCTCACTCATCACAGTTAAGATTATGTGTCCAGTTTCTTATCATCTCTAGATTGTAAGGTTCACGAGGACAGGAATTCTATCTTGTTTATATGAATGCTTAGCAGCCTCTAGCTTAAGATCTAGTTGTTCTGGACTACTTTGTGGAGAATTTAAGTTTCCTTTCAAATTACATACAGTGTACACAGCATGGTGAAGTGCAAAGACATGGGTTTGGAGTCCACCTGAGCTTGAATTTCATCTGTTACTTACTAGTTTTGTGACCTTGGCCTCAGTTTCCGTATCCATAAAATGGGAATAATGATAGTACTGCTGTTCTCTAGGTTGTGGAAATTGGTTAAATGAAATAATACATATAAAACTCAGCATGATGTTAGACAGTAAGTCCTCAAGAATAATTTGTTATTAATAAGGTCATTTATTTGTAAGCTTTTGCTTGCTCACTGTAACAGTGATTTTTATCAAGTTACTACAGTAATGAGTCTGTTGATACTTGCATATGAGTAATTACAATATATTGAAATTTAGTGAGGTTTATTATAGCATATTCCAAACTACTATAAATACTTATGATTTATAAAATATTTCACTCTAATAATTGATAAAACATTCATAATAATAGCTAATATGCCATTGACCAGGAGAAATAAAGAACCAGTGAAGTAAGAAGTCCTATGATAATATATACAAATATAATAGGGGCTCAATAATTATTGATGATTATGAGAAACTAAAATTTTTATTTTCTAATTACATCATATTGGCACACTTTTAGCCCAACAAAAGAAATTGCTCAAAATATGTTTTAAATTTCTGGCTTGCTAACCAGTAGCACAGAACAGTGCATATAAGAAATTAACAGTCATTTATTGAGTAACTCTTAATATACAAAGCACTCTAATAGGTGTACTCTAAGAGATAAAGATAGAAGAAAGCATGATTTCTGTTCTCCAGCATCCTATAACCTGTTCTAGAAGAGCTATCCGAATCAAGTGAAACAATTGGTGAATTAGACAAGCTAATATTTACTAGTAATTAACTGTTAAATCAATTTTGCCTTGAGATTATATGTTAGAAAGATGATCAGCTTTCTTGAAATTTAGCTTTGATAAAACCACACTGCAGTTGGAGGACCTAATATTATATTTTTTGATGGTTCAATTTTTCATAGAAAATTGAATTCATTATATAAAGTATGATACTAAGCTGCCTTTTCACAATGTTGAAAACTAAGTTTTGTTGGTTTGCTCCTTTTTGTAGCAAAATTGTGATGGGACAGGCATGATGTACTTCATAGGATGTGGTTATAATGCTTTTCCTGTTGGATCTGAGTATGCCGACTTCCCCAACATGGATGACAAACAGAAAGACAGAGAAATAAGGAAATTCAGATACATTATCCATGCGGAGCAGAATGCCTTGACCTTTAGGTATGAAATTCCTTTACATTTATTTTCATTAAAATGTAGCAAGGGCTAGTTGAAATTGAACCCACAACCTTTTGGTGGATGGGACAATGCTCCAACCAGCTGAGCCACCCGGCCAGGGCTGAATTTAGTTTACTTTTAGCTGCAGTTTGTTTCCTTCTTAAAATTTTTATTATTCCAATAAATACTCTTTAGAAGTATAACTTTAGTTATACTTCGTCTTTGCTGCCTGACCTGAGGCCATCATCAAAGATACTGTGGGCCTTCAGATTTATTGAACAATCTTTTTTCCTCCTTATTCCTTTGCTCTCTAATATAAAATGGCATGAAGTGTATCCTTAGGGTCTTGTGTATTTCTGGAGTGTAAGCTGTCCTTTGTTTTCAAAATCTAAAGCACATACTTTGTTTTTATAAATATATAGATTTTATTATGAACTAAATTCCTTTAACAGTTTTTGTTAGAGGTTGTAAATGGCATTACCTCCTCCTCTGATGTTAATTTAGATTATTTCCACAAACATTTCTCAGCATTAACCATGAAGGGGTGATCTTAGGGTATTGGAAACTGAATGAAATATTGCTCCTATTCTTAAGAGCTTGGAATACCATAGGGAATGTGAAAGTGCATTCACCCAACCCAAGTGCTGTCGAAATTCAGGGGCTGCCATGGATGGAGGGAGGTTAGGAGGGAAAAGCTTTATGGAGAAGCTCGCATTTCAGCTGAGCTGTGAAGGTTTGGTAGGATTGTGACAACTGGAGGTACTTCCAGGGAAGTCATTGTTGCTTCGGGCAGAGCAGTGGTCTGAAAGTAGGAAGAAAGCTTATGTGTGGGAACATGCAGCTCCAGTGAGGCTGCACCGTGGAGCACTGGGACCAGATGGGACTGTATAGGGAAGACTGTGAGGTGAGACTTCACTTGGGAACATGGAATGGCATTGAGAGAGTCACAGTACTGATTGCTTACATTATGGGTATATTGTTTAAATAGGTTTGGTGCATAAAATTGTGTTGGCCTAATCCAGGTGAACAAATGAGAGTCTGAACTAGAAAGATGGGTAGGGAAGGCTGGTGGTGGTGGCAGATGGCTCACTCTGAGCAGAGGGAACCATGGAACCAGGAAGTACAACCCCTGCAGCCCCAGCTGAGAGCATCTCTTAGTCCTAAATAGGCCATTCACACATATGATGTTTCCAGATGTGCTCTTCTTACAGATTGTATGGAGATATGGATATGTCAAATTTAAATGTTTCTTAAATAAAAGTATCCCATGTTAGGGAAGGGGGTAGGGAAATATAACTCTATCCAGAACTTTAATATTACAGTAAAACCTCGATATAACAGACTAATATGGGCAAGGGGCTGTCTGTTAAAGCTGAAAGTCCATTATATAATAAAATTGGTTTTCTGCATGTGCATGTTAAAAAATCAACCAACCAGTTCACCAATTTTTATTTATGTAGACATGTTTGTATAGTTAAAATTAAGTATGTAGAAAGTTTAATTTCACAGAAAACTTTTCTATATGTATTACTATAAATTTAATTTATTCTGAATAGGTCTAGTAAATGCCTGCGTTCAGTAGTCACCGAGTGTAAACAAATGCACACACTGGGGCGCGGCTTAGCACATCTGGAAACATCAGCTGGCACATGTGATTATGTTGCAGAAAGTCACGCCACGCAACAATGGAACAATCCCATGCACCATGCGGTGTGATCATGTGCTATTGATTCACCAAATTCTGTTTACCAGCAGTGACTCTTGGATTTAAATATATAAACTATAGTTGAAGATATGTAATATTTATGTTGGTGAAATTATTACAATGTTTTTTCCAACATATGGCCTATATGTTAAAATTTGTTAAAAATAACAGCGAGTTAATTATAAGCAAATAACCTGTTAATTATAAGCAAATCTTGGTTAAAAACATTTTAAAATTAACAGGGATTTAATGGAATTTTGACCATTAAATCCAAAGTCTGTTAAATTGATATCTGCAAAACCAAGGATAACAGTAAATTTATTAGTTTAGTAAGCATTTATTAAATATCCACTGGGTACCAGATAAGGGGATAGGTCATTTGGCTACCATTAGTTAATGTCATAAACATTAGACATCATAAACTTTCAAGGGGGGGTGTTAGTTCTGGCCCCTGATTTTGGCATTAGAAAGAAGTACTTTCTTAAAGAACATTGTGTTCTCTCTCGCTCTCTTACTGTTTTCATTTACTTTGTAATATAATACTGAAATCTTGCCAGATTGCTTAGAATAAGTAAATTTTGCTTATAATAATTGTCATGTTCAGGTTATATTTTAACATTTATGAGTTTAGATTTTGAATACTCATTAATTCAGAAAGAATAAGTTTCACTTATTGTTTATAATGTTGAAAATCTACTCTTAAAGCAGATGTTTTATTTTTAAACACTTCTCTGAAATATAACTACCCTGTTAGAAACTATCCTTTTAATATTTTATACACTTTTTGTAGATGTCAAGAAATAAAACCAGAAGAAAAAAGTATGATTTTTGTGACAAAGTGCCCATGTGATGAGTGTGTACCTTTAATTAAAGGTGCAGGCATAAAACAAATCTATACAGGGGATATAGATGTTGGAAAAAAGAAGGCAGACATCTCTTACATGCGATTTGGAGAACTTGAAGGTGTTGGCAAATTTACAGTAAGTAAGACACACACTTTTTTCCAAATATGCTTCCTATTAATGTTGTTTGGTACTCTGCCACATATTTTAACCTAGTAATTCCCACACTTTTAAAGAGTTTCAACAAACTGTTATCACAGTTTATTTTTATGTACAAGCACTTGCCTAATTACAAAATTTCAGTTTAGGATCTCTGCCTTATGAATTTATTATCTCTGTAGAGAGAATTGTATTGACCTTACAGATATTGAATTAGCAGACCTTTGGTGCTTAACAAAAGAAAATCTCTGAACTACTTCCCTCACCCTTCTTTCTGGCTTGGATGGAGCAGTAAACAAGGTGAAAATAGTTTAAGGTTACAGAAAAGATAGGGAGATTTAATGTCATACACACACACACAGTACTGAGGTAGTTCATGCAAAACTCAGATAATTTATATAAAATATAAATGTAACTTTATTTTTTTTTACTATTTAAGTGTGGGTTTTTTTGTGTTTTTTTTTTAATGTTTTCTTTTTAGGAACAATTGCAAATATACACAAAAGTTCAAATACTCTGCTAGAAACTTTTTTCCAAAAACTTTTGAGAATAAGTTGTTGACATGATACCAGATTACTCTTAAATACTTCATTGTATATTTTCTTAAACAATATATTCTCCTACATAACCATAATCTAACCACAAATCTCAGATTATCATTAACACATTACTGCCATTTAGGCCAGAGATTTCATCAGCATTCACCAGTTGTCCCAAATGTTCTATATAGTAAAAGGGTCCTGTCCAGAATCATGTATTGCTTTTTAATGATAATTCTGGAATTTAATGTAACATTTATATATTAGAAGTTGCAGTGGATACAAAAGACATATAATAGAATTGTTTATACATTTCAACTTTTCATTTCTGTTTTGAGTCTAGGTTCCTGGAATATATACAGGGGAGGGAAAAATTAGGTTTACAGTTGTGAGTACACGAAAAGCAGTTTATTCTTGTATTATTATTTATTAACCAGAGGCCCTTTGCACGAAGATTCATGCAATAGAACTTCCTTCACCTGGCTGCCAGCGCCATTTTTCCTCCGGCCCCGGGACCCAGGCCGTGGCTCTAGCCACTGCCTTCCATCTTCTGTCAGGGTCGGGGCTTGGACCCCGGTGGCAGCAGTACGGGGGTGGGCGCTGCCGCCGCCCGGGTCCCTCAGCCATCGTTGGGTCCCTTAGCAGTGGGGGATGGGGCAGCGCGTGGGGCTGCCATCTTTGCTGAGTTAATTTGCATAGCACCCCTGATTGTCTGTGGGCATAGCGAAGGTACGGTCAATTAGCATATTGCTCTTTTATTATGTAGGATTATTGTATTATTTATTATTATTATTTCATATCCTCACTTATGATTTATCTTTTAGGTAATGATGATTGATAATTTAACTTAATTTTCCCACCCCTGTAAAACACCTAAAAGATACTTATTAAACTATAAATACATTTAAAATTTAAAAAATATAACAACATACTATCTAATTTCCGTGTGTATGAAGTATCACAAATTTTTGCTTTTTAAATTTTTGTTCTGTATTTTTGTCTTTTAGCTCATTTTGTTTAAAGTTTATCACTACTTTAAAAAGAAAGGGGAGGCTCTAAAAGAAGGCATGGGAAAGATTCCTTTTCTGTAAAACTAAGCAAAAGGTTACATCCAGCAAGTCAAGGAGCGATCTCCAGTTCTGTGGTTTTGTTTTCTATCTCTTCATTCACCTGAGAGTAGGAAGAATTTCTCTTTATAAAGATTAAGTAACCTAGCATTTCAGGACTGTGTGTGATGGGTGAAGCGAATTCGGAAATATCTTGCTTACTGGTGGATTTTAGTAGCTTGTCAATTGTACAGAGAATGAAGAGATTGGAAGAATGTAAGCTAGGGCAAGAGAAGTGGAAGGGGCCAGGAAAACAAAGGAAGTGAAGGCTCTCTGAGCACAGTTGTGACACAGAAGCACCCGTTTGGCCAAGACCCACCCACAATGCCTCCCTCAGGTACACTGTTCTCTCCTAGTGATCATTAGCTTTCCCATCTGCTCCTTCCCCTTGTCTGGTCTGGTTTGCAATATTATGATTTAAATTGCCTGGTGAGCAGTTTTGTAAATACCAGCAACTGACATGAGCACCTAGTTTTGTAAATACCAGCAACTGACATGAACTAGTACTTATCCTAAGTTTGAATTTTAATAATGATTATACTTTTAGACTTCAAAAGTAGTATAAGAATATTAGTAAATTTGGTATTCTTTTTTTTTTAATATCGAGTTTTTTACAGAGAGGAAGGGAGAGGGATAGAGAGCTAGAAACATCGATGAGAGAGAAACATCGATCAGTTGCCTCCTGCACAGTCCTACAGGGGATATGTCCACAACCAAGGAACTTGGCCCTTGACCAGAATTGAACCTGGGACCCTTGAGTCCACAGGCCAACGCTCTATCCACTGAGCCAAACCGGTTAGGGCAAATTTGGTATTTTTAAAAGATTAAAGCATATTAAAATTAACTTTGTATGAAAAATGTTTGCTTTTTTCTTTGAAGTGTCATCATATATACCTTAAGGTCAGTGGTTCTGTTCTGTGGGGTTATTGCTAGTTAGACTAGGGCTGGGCAACAGTACTTTCAAAAATAGACTTTTGGCCGGGACCAGTTTGGCTCAGTGGATAGAGCGTCAGCCTGTAGACTGAAGGGTCCCGGGTTTGATTCCGGTTAAGGGCATGTACCTTGGTTGCGAGCACATCCCCAGTGGCAGGTGTGCAAGAGGCAGCTGGTCGATGTTTCTCTCTCATCAACGTTTCTAACTCTCTGTCCCTCTCAATTCCTCTCTGTGTAAAATCAATAAAATATATTGGGGGGGAAAATCAAAAATAGACTTTTGCCCGTATAAACCCATGTCCATTTAATCCTAAACTCTCGTGGATTTTTCTCTGTTAGATCATGTTATTATTTTTTTTAATTATAAAAGTAACATATGCTCATTGTAAAGCACTAAAAAAATTAAAAAGGACATATTGGAGGATCCAAGATGGCTGTTCGGGTAGACATCTAGCCGCGGCAGCACACAGCAATTTCAATGGAATACAACTAAAATGTAGAGTGGACATTGCCCAGAGCTACAGGTAGTCGACTGACTGAAATTTCTACAACAAGAAGGAAAGAGAAAACCAGAAGGAAAATCAGAGGAGCTGAAAAAAAGCCTAAGGTACGGAGACATGCTGCGCGCGCCTGCCCGCCCGCACGCGCGCACGGAGAGGTCGCAGCCAGAGAGGAGGAGAGGGCGGGGAGCTGCCTTTCCTTCCCTAGCAGGAAGGAAATAAGGCCCCCAGCCTGGGCTGAACCCCCGAACCGGCCGCGCTGAGCCCCCCCGAACCGGCAGCGCTGAGCCCCAGTTATGGGCCAGACCCTGGGGACCCAGGCTCCAGCGGGAGGAGACAGGGCCGTGAGGCGGAAAAACGGCGAAAGGCAGGGCCCCGGGAGTCGCGCGCAATGCGCGCAGAGGACTGAATGTTGACTCTGATGCTGGGTTGCCCTAGCCGGAAGAAACAAGGCCTCCGGGCGGCGCTGAGCCTCAGTCCGGACTGCTCCGAACCCCAGTTCTGGGCCAATCCCTGGGGACCCAGGCTCAGGCAGAGGGAGACGGGGCTGTGAGGTGGAGTCCGGGGAGAGCGGCGAAAGGCCGGGCCCCCGGGACTCGCGCAAACTGCGCGCAGAGGACAGTCTGTGGGACTCGCGCAAACTGCGCGCAGAGGACAGTCTGTTGACTCTGATGCTGGACTTCTCTAGCGGGAAGGAGAAAAAAAAAAGCTCTAGGCTGGGGGAACGCGGAGGGGAGCGGAAGCCCCTGCCGGACTCCAGCCAACCGGGCACCAGCAAGGAGGCGGGCCACGGGGCCCCTGGGGGCGTGGGTGCCCCTGAGCCTTTGACCACTGAGCTCGGGCAATGGAGCCAAGGCCGGGGGCTGCTTCCTGGGCGGCGCCGTCCCGGCAACAGGCTGAAGCAGCGCAGGAGCCTGCGGAGAACAAAGGGGTGCCACAGGCCAACCTGCTGAGCTCCCAGGACAAGGAGGAAGAAACCAAAGAAGTTCTCAATGTGAAGAAATCAAGTGAAAGCAAAAAATAGTAAAATTACTTAAGAAAGAATACAAAGAAGATCTTGAAAAATCAAAGACTAAGTCAGAACTCAACTCACCAGCCAACATTGCAACATAAATGCGTTTTAAAAAGAAAAAAAAAAGGACAGAATGTTGGAACAGCGACGGCCAGGCCTAGAGTGGCCAGGCACAAGGCAGTGGCAGCCAGACCCGGAGCAGCAACGGCCAGGCCCCAGAACAACAGCAGCCAGAACCAGAGCATCAACAGCCAGCACTGGAGTAGCCAGACCTGGGGCAGTGGCAGCCAGGCATGAGGCGGAGGCGGCCAAGCCCAGGGTGGCCAGGCCAGGAACACCCAGACCCGGAGTGGCCGGGCCCGAAGAAGCCGGGCCCAGAGCAGCCGGGGTGGGAGCAGCCAGACCCAGAACAGCAGTAGCCAAGCCCAGAGCATCCAGGTCGGGAGTGGCCAGGCTTGGAGCGGCCGGGCCCGGGGCAGCCGGGCCCAGAGCAGCCGGGTCAGGTGCGGCCAGGCCCGGAGCAGCAGCTGCCAGGCTGGGAGCGGCCAGGCCCGGGGGAGCAGGCGGGTCGGGTGCGGCCAGGCCCGGAGCAGCGGCTGCCAGGCAGGGAGCGGCCAGGCCCGGGGGAGCAGGCGGGTCGGGTGCGGCCAGGCCCGGAGCAGCGGCTGCCAGGCTGGGAGCGGCCAGGCCCGGGGGAGCAGGCGGGTCGGGTGCGGCCAGGCCCGGAGCAGCGGCTGCCAGGCTGGGAGCGGCCAGGCCCGGGGGAGCAGGCGGGTCGGGTGCGGCCAGGCCCGGAGCAGCGGCTGCCAGGCTGGGAGCAGCCAGGCCCGGAGCAGCAGCAGCCAAGTCCAGAGCAACTAGGTAGGGAGCGGCAGTGACCAGACCCGGAGCAGCTGGTTGTGGAATGAACCAGAGCAACAGAGGCCAGGCCCTGAGCAGCCAGGCCCAGAACAGCTCGCTCCTTGCCTGCCCCTGCCCCACGGCTGCTTCTCAGACATGGCTGGAAACTTTCGTGGGAACTTGAGGGTCTGCTGAATCAAGTGATGAAGGCTTAGATCTGGATGTGTTGAGTTAGTTTAGGACTGGGGTGTTGATCTGTGAGTGCCTTGGGTGGGGCCTGGATGAGGCTGGTTGACCTAGTGGGAAATGTCTTTTGTGTGAAGTGTATCATTGGGCATGTGGAGGTATTATTGATATGAGAAAATGCTAAGTAACTGATTTACTATCTGAAAAGGGATTTACTATTGGGGAAATTGAGGGAAGAAGAGACTGAACATAAACTGCACCTATGGATGAGGACAATGGGGGATGGGGGGGGACGGAGGGTGGGGTGGGAACCTGGTGGAGGGGGGAAGAAATGAGGAACCTTTGTAATAATATGAACAATAAAGATTGATTAAAAAAAATAAATAAATAAAATAAAAAAATAAAAAAATAAAAAAATAAAATAAAAAATAAATAAATAAATAAATTTAAAAAAAAAAAGGACATATTATCCTGTAACTCATAGATACTGTTGTTAACATGTTATATTTTCAGTCAGTGAAAATTCTTCAAAAATAATTTTTTTACATGCAATAAACATTAATATTTTAATAAAAATGATTTTAAATATAATAATATTACCTAAACTGTACCAGCAGAGTATAATATCACCAAAGTTGTAGGAAATATTAAAAATCTGTAAATAACAGGATTACTTCTGTTATATTCTAAAATATTTTTTCCTCTGGTTCTGTGTTGGTTCATTAGTTTATGTTGTTCATTATATTCCACAAATGAACAAGAAAAATAATTATTTTTTATTTTTTAATTTTTTTTAATTTTTTATTTTTAAATATATTTTATTGATTTTCCACAGAGAGGAAGGAAGAGGAATAGAGAGCTAGAAATGTTGATGAGGGAGAAACATCGACCAGCTGCCTCTTGCACAACCCCTACCGGAGATGTGCCCGCAACCAAAGTACATGCCCTTGACCGGAATCGAATCTGGGACCTTTTAGTCCGCAGGCCAACGCTCTACTGCTGAGCCAAATCGGTTTTGGCAAGAAAAATAATTTTTAATAATTATATATTTCAATCTATAGATACACCTTATTTAACAATTGTTCTGTTGTTCGACACGTACATTGCTTCTAAATTTTTACAGTTGGAAATAGTCTTTTTATGATTATCCTTAAATGTAAACTCAGGATTACTAATTTTTATTTTGCCCAAATTAATAGATATTAGTGGCTTGACAAGTTTTAAAATGTGCCTTTAAAATAAATTTTTATATATAACTTCTCACTCTTTATAAGTTCTCTTTTCCTTGTGCTAACCCTAACCATCCCATTTCTATAGCCGACCAAACAGTTCTTGACGTCCTCCCTTTCCAAGGACTTTTTTCCACGTGGTGAAATGTTTATTTTTTTCTTGTCCCCATGATATTAGCTAGTTTATCGTATGAATCAACTGATGCTATGGAAAAGGCTCCCAGGTACTAAACACTTAATTGTGTCTTTCTGGAGATAGTTCCCTGGTGGTTAAGTCATTAAGTGATTCTGATGATGGGGATTTCCAGCCCAGGAAATAAGTAAGGCTGTGCTATGAGATCCTGATTACACTCATTTTTCTTATCTGCTGCTTCAGCCTTTGCTATAATATCTGAGAATCTTCAGGCTTCCCTATTTCTTTCTGAATAGTTAAAGTGGAAAACTAATCAGAGAGGTGATGTGATATATAAATAACATATATATATATATATATATGCCTAAGTGTTCAACGGGTAGCTATGATGTGCACTGACCACCAGGGGGCAGATGCTCATTGCACAGGCATGGAAACATGGAACAGACTGATAAATTTCAGAGGAAGTGGGGAGGGAGGAGGGTGGGAAGAGATTAACTAAAGATCTTATATTCATACTAGAGACCCAGTGGACCGATTCATATACCGGTGTGGTCCCTCAACCTGGCCTGTACCCTCTCTCAATCTGGGACCCCTTGGGGGATGTTGGACTGCCAGTTTAGGCCTGATCTCTGCAGGCCAGGCCAAGGGACCCCACTGGTGTACAAATATGTATACCGGGCCTCTGGTATCATATAATATATGGAGTATATTATATGATACCAGAGGCCCGGTATACATATTGAATGAGTTCGTGCACGGGTGGGGTCCAGCCAGCCCGCTCTGATGGGGGCCCATTGGGCTGGGCTGGTGGGGGACAGGGGCTGTGGGCAGTTGGATGGCCTATCCCACCCCCGATCGGGGTGTCCGGGGCTGATCAGGGCCCAGATCAGGCTGGTTGGCTACTGCAGTGCAGAGCCACCGATTGTTCTGGTTTTTCTGCCGTTTTTGTCGCTGGGCTTTGATATATATAGATAGATAGATAACTATATTAAAAGGCAAGATAATCTTGACCATATTTTCATTCTTTAATATCAGGGCCTTCTCTTATAAGATCAGAAGGACCTGAAGATAGAGTATGAGGTGGTGGAAATTCTATAGTGTTGGCAGACCCAGATTCTAATTTTATTGCTGCCTTTAGTTAGTGTGTAACCATGAGCAAGTCACTATACTTTTATGGTGTTACCTATAAAATGAAAGTAAAGGCTTTAAAGTTCATTTCTTCTTTAAGAATATTGATTTTGATCCCAGAAGTCATATCTTTCAGGGACTCAGGTCCTTCAGTGTCATTAGGGCTTGGTTGGTATAAATATGCTAACTCTTTTTTCTTATGCTTTTAAAATTGTTTTGATATTTGAGAGCAGGGTGCTGAAATACTATTTATTAAATCCTTCTTAATCATATAAATAAAATGATTGTGCCCTTTTGCAGTGGCAACTGAATCCAGCAGAAACTTGTGTTCTTGAACAAAATGAGCCTGAAAGCAAAGAGAGTAAGTATTTACAAGTCCTTTGTTGAGGTTATCCTTAATGCTGAGAAGAAATAATACATTGTGAATTTTAATGAAATTGTTGGAAATTGTTGTAGTCTTAGACAGAGCATACTCTTTTTCCAGGTTCGATTTTTGCCACTCAGTTTTCTCACAAGCATTTGTTTACAGGGATGATGGAAAGTACTGGCTAGTAATTAGTCCTGCATAATCTGAAGTTTAATATAAATAATCGTATACAAATTGATTTCATAAATTAAGTTTATATGAAATAGTAAACAACAGTGTTCTTTCATACCAAAACAAGAGCTTTTTGGATAGTTTGACAGGAAAGCTACATTTAAGTAGTACAGCTGGATCTAGGGCCAAATTATGAGGATATGTGCATTCTTATTAGAGTAAAACCACATTTGCTCAGATTTGTCAGAGGCTAGAAATGTTCTGGGTATTTGCATATTCTAATTAACTGTCAGTCATGACAGCTACCATAAATGAATTAATAGTCTTCAAAGCTTTTATTATTTGCATACTGACACAGATATTTTGAAAGTAATAGAATCTTTGAGAGATTTACAATTTCTTACACACATTAACTGAACATTAGTTATTGGTGTACAATATTATTTTTAAATACTAGCTATGCTAGCTTTTTGATTGTATTCTAGGTAAGTGGAAGTTTATAAAGTAAAGTTTTCTTGATAATAATGATTTGATTATCCTGAAAAATCAGGAAATATAAATATCTTTATGAAAATAATTTTATGTAAATATCTTGATTTTCTTTGTTATGAATTAACTTTATTTTATTCAAGTAGTAATCTGGACAAAAATACATATTTATGCTTCAGCTTTCTTTTTTAAAATTTATCAGGAAAAATAAGTGAAAGAAAAAGAAAGATATACCCAGAGAGGGACAAAAGTAGGTTTAGAGTTATGAGTAAATGATACAGTTTATTCTTATATTATTATTTATTAATTATTGTATTGCTTTCCATATGAACAACTAAAAACCTACTTTTACCCCACCCATCATGTATGTGGATCTTATTAAAGAATGTATATTCAATAACAGTGTTTGAGGGGATCAGTTAATAATTCCCTGTTATTAGAGAAAGGACTCAAAAAGTCCTAACCATAAAAAGATGAATTAATTTATCTATTTAAAAATTAAGAATATATGTTCATCAAAAGATACCATTAAAAGCAGACAAAGGCAAGCCATGGAATAAGAGAATATATTTATCACTTATAATCAACAAAGGACTTGTATCCAGGATTTATTGTTCTAGATCATTAAGGAAAAGGAAGACATGCTGTGGTTAGAAGTCCCAAGATTGGAGGGAGGGGTTCGTGATTAGGAGAAAATAAGAGAAAGGCATCTGCTGTGCTGGCAGTGTTTTATTTTTTGCCTGGATGATGGTTAAATGTATGTTTGCTTTGTGACAGACAGTTCATTGAACTGTTAAGCTCATGTTTTGTATTTATTTTTGAAGAAGTGTTTTATATCAATAAATAATATCACTGTCGCCCTCGCCAGTTTGGTTCAGTGTATAGAGCCTTGGCTGTAGAATGAAGGGTCCCCAGTTCAATTTGTACCACGGACCTCGGTTGCAGGCTCCATCCCCTGCCCTGGTCTAGGCACTGCAGGAGGCAGCCAATCGATTGATGTCCACGTCGGATGTTTCCCTCTTTCCTATCTCCCCTTCCTCTAAAAATCAATGGGAAAATATCCTCGGGTAAGGATTAACAATAATAACAACAACAATAATAAATAAAAATAAACAAACAATATCTCTGTCTTTCTCAATGTTATAACAGCTTTATTGAGATGTAATTCATACACCATAAATTTGCCATTTAAAATATAGAATTCAGTGGTTTTTACTGTATTCACAGTTGTGCAACTTCACCACAACCTAATTTCAGAATTTTCATCATCTCAAAAAGAAACCATTTCATTTATATTTACTCCCATTTTCACTTCCCCTATCCCCAGACAACCACTTAATCTACTTTGTTTTTATAAAATCATATATTCTGACCATTTCATATTAGTAGATTACTTTCTGATTTTGGAATCAGCTGAGAAACAAGACAGGACTCAAATAGATGAAAATTAAAATACCAGTTTATTGCAAGACTGAGACTTGACCTTTGGCCAAATCAGGCTTTATGGTATTTGTCCTTCCTTACCTCTCCTACTTACCCTCCCCAACCAAGTCTAGACCTTGAAAAGGTATTCAGCTCTGAGGAGACTTGTTAATTTATGCCCTCTCAGTTCCAACAGCAGGGACAAAAGAGAAGGCAGGCAGGTATTGTGAGTAATTACTTTCACTCTGTATAACTGGAACTCAAATATCCCATAATATTCTTTTTAAGAAATCACAGGGCATTGAAGAAAATAAGGGAAATATTCAAATATTCCTGTTTCCTTGGAAAACATAGAAATAAGAGGAACAGTTTGATAGAATTAAATTAAATACCACAGTCAGTAAACACAAAGCCAGGTTACCTTGGGGACAAATATCCATATAAGTTGGGATCTTGAGAATAAGTAAGTCTGTTGCCTGCTGCTAAAACTAAAGAACTAAACCTGAGACTCACATTAAGCTTGGGGTCCTCCACAGAAACTAAAATGTTCCCACGCAGGGACACCTTCTAGAAGAAGCAAATGCAAATTTTCTCAGAAGGAAAGTGATCCCAGAAGTGTATTATGAGCTTCTAAAACGAGGTGAAACTGTTAATACTGATCGCTACCGGTAACAAATAATCAATTTAAACCATGCTTTGATCATGAAATGACCAGACATGGCATAGTAATTTTGCTTCATGGTGACGCACCATCACACACTTCAAAACCAGTTAAAGACACGTTTAAAGATCTTGCCTGGGAAGTATTAACCCACCCGCCATATTCACCAGACTTTGCTCCTTCAGATTACCACTTGTTCTGATTGATGGCACCCGCACTTATCATATGAAGAAGTAGAAGATTGGGTTTCTGAATGGTTTGCCTCAAAACAAGAAACATTCTATTGGGACGGTATCATAAATTACCTGAAAGATGGGGAAATGTGTGGCTAGCAATAGACATTACTTTGAATAAAGCACTTTTGATGTTTCTCTTGAAATTATCGTGTTTTCTTTGATTACAGAATCCTCCATTATTAACCAGTACACCTAGTATCTATTCACCTGCTGAAAGGCATCTTGATTACTTTCAAATAATTGCAATTATGAATGAAGCTGCTATAAGCATTTGTGTACTTTTTTTTTTGTAAACATGTTTTCACTTATTTTGGATAAATACCCAAGAGCATGACTGCTGGATCATATGATAAAGAGTATGTTTAGTTTTGTAATAAACTGCCAAATTGGCTGTACCATTTTGCACTCACACCAGCAATGAATATGACTTCCTATTGTTCCACATCCTCTCTAGCATTTGGTGTTGTCAATGTTCTACATTTTGATCATTCAAATAGGTGTCCAGTTCTTTTAAATGAACTGGTGGTAAATTGCCCAGTATTTTCAATGGCATTTCTTAAGGCATTGGGCTAATTTAAACACTCAGTCCATGCTAGGCACATGTTAGTAGGTAGGTCTATTTATTTATTTATTTTAATCCTCACTCAAGGACTTTTAAAATTGACTTTGGAGAGAGAGAGAGAGAGAGAGAGAGAGAGAGAGAGAGAGAGAGAGAGAGAGAGAGAGAAAGAAACATTAATCAGTTGCCTCCTAGATGTGCCAAGACAGGAGATCAAATCCAAGATCTAAGTATGTTCCCTGACCAGGAATCGAACCTGCCACCTTTTTTAGTATATGGAACCCATGCTCCAACCAACTGAGCCACCCATCCAGGGCAGTATTGTATTGTTTTAATTTGCCTTTCCATGATGACATATGATGTGATACATCCTTTCATATGCTTATTTTCCATCTGCATATCTCAGTTGCATATTGATTTTTGGATATTCACCTTGTATCCTCCAACCTTGATGTAAAACACTTATTAGTTCCAAAATGTATTTTTTAATTCTTTTGGAATGTGTGAATAAAGATTGATTAATTTCTTCCTTCCCAATCTATTCCTTTTCTTGTCTTATGGCATATAGCTAGAATTTCCACTCTGATATGGAGAAGGAGTGGTGAGAGAGGAGGATATTCTGGCCTTGTACCTGATGGTGTTGGAAAGCTCTGAGTGCCTCACCATTAAGTATGATGTTATTTGTAGATATTATTTTTATTTTTGGTTGTTTTTATTTGTTTGTTTTTTGTTAACACCCAATGAAATTTTTTAAAAAAATCTTTATTGTTGAGAATATTACAGATGTTCCCCCTTTATCCCCCCCATAATTCTCCACTACCCAGTCCGGGCCCTGCCCCAGGCCTTTACCACCCTGTTGTCTGTGTTCATAGGTAATGCAGATATGCATGTAAGATCTTTGTTTAATCCCTTCCACTACTGCCCTCCCCTCTTCCCTCCGAGAGTCGTCAGTCTGTTCCATGTATCCATGTCTCTGGTTCTATTTTATTTTATTTCACTTTATTATTTTATTTTATTTTTTATATAATAAATCTTTATTGTTCAGATTATTACAGGTGTTCCTCTTTTTGCCCCCATAGCTCCCCTCCACCTGATTCCTCACCCCACCCCATGCCCTTACCCCCTGCCTCTGTCTTCATCCATAGGTGTAAGATTCTGGTTTTATTTTATTCATCAGTTTATTTTGTTCATTAGATTTATTCATCATTTATTTTTATTTTTAGATTGAATTGATAGATATATATTTATTGCCATTGTTCATATTTTTTTCTTTTTCTCCCCCTCCTCCTCCTCCTCCTCCTCCTCCTCCTCCTCCTCCTCCTCCTCCTTCTCTTCCTCCTCCTCCTTCCTCTTCTTTTGTTTTTTTTGGATCCAAAAGCTGGGTGCCGGGTGGAGGCTGTCACTCTGATGGAGGAACAGTCAACCCCAACCCCCACCACAGACCACACAGCGCATT